GCAGTCGCAGGCAGAGTCGCCTGAACAGAAGGGGTCGCCTGGACAGAAGGAGCCGGTTGTGAAGGAGGAAGCTCCCAAGGACACCGAATCTTCCGAGGAGGAGTGCCCTGCGGACGAGACATCCCCGGCGCCCCCTGCGGCCCCGGCGCCCCCTACGGACGAGACTTCGCCGTCGCCCCCTGTGACCCCGGCGCCCCCTACGGACGAGACGTCGCCGTCGCCCCCTGCGGCCCCGGCGTCCCCTGCGGCCCCGGCGGATGAGGCGTCCCCTGCGAAGGAGGTGTCCCCTGTGAAGGAGGCGTCACCTGCGAAGGAGGTGTCCCCTGCGAAGAAGGTGCCCAGTCCCCTTTGAAGGACGAGATCCTAGTATAGGAGTTCGTTAGTGAAAGTATGTCAAGGCAATAGTGAACTGTAAGCCTCTATCTTTGTCTAGTATATGACTTCCCTTAGTGATATCTGGGGTATAGTGTTAGGGGAATAGACCGTTATTATAGCATTATAGAGGCATTGTCTCGACTTTCACACTCCCTGCTGCAAGTGATGGTCCCTTTTCTAGGTTGACCACGTGAATGCAATTGCTTTTCCCATTCTCACACCCTCAACTCGCCAAAGCATATTTTCAAATATGCTATCCGAAACACGGGCGCGCGCGCACACAACTCTCGTGGCCAATGAGTTCACGCTCATCGAGCGATGCGCGGGGCCTCGCGATCAATGCCCAATCCGGGACGCAGGGTATCATCCGCTGACGGCAGGAGAATCAGTCGCCCCGACTGTCGGTGCCATGTCTTGGTCGGAGCCCAAGCCTCGGCTAGTGGCACTATTCGCAGGGTCGGGATGTTTATGTTCTGCCTTTCACCTGTCAGCGTTTGACTGTGCGGATGTACGAGACACTGTGTGCACACTGTATGCACACTGTATCCGTACCTCACTAGGTAGTAGGGGTGGCCGACCACCAAGTGTCAGGACGGATTTCGTTTTTGATGGCTTGTCAATGTCATCATGAGAAGCGGTATGTAAGAAATAATTTACAGATGAGGGGAGCAAAATGCGTCATTATCAGGTCGAAAATGTTGGCAGGCTGTGCAAACTGCGCCATATGGGGTTGGTTGGGCCATGTCCTTGGGCAACGTATCGGTGTAGTCGGTCAAAGTGTGATTCATAGTAGCGTAAATTGGTCGTTTCTAATTTGTACGTGATTGCAAGTCAAGAGTGGTGAAAGTCGATGTGATGCTCATCGTGGTGTCGGGCACAAGACAAGCAAAGGCTGAGCCCGGCCAGGTGGTTGCAGGCGGCCCAGCGGTTGCAGGCGGCCCGTTATGCAGCCGGCACTTTGGTTAGGTTGCCTTGTGAGTTGCCTTGGGATGGTTCATGGTTCGCATTTTCAAGCAGCGCGCGAGAGGAGAGCACGGGGATTGGGCAGCTTTTCGGTAGAGGGAAAAGTGAAGAGAGGATGATTCTGGTGCTTGTGACTCTTCTTTCGGAAGCGGTCCTTCTTTTGTTGGCAATATTACTTAGTCCGTACCGGTCAGCGACATGCAAGGCGGCGCAGTTGCACGACCGCACGAATGCCAGCGCATCACTGGCGAAGATACTCGGACGGTATTTTGATTATTTTGATGGACAGCGCGGCTTACCAAATTTGTCGAAGCCATTGTTACACGGGGAAACGCGCCCATCGCGAAACTGGCACTGCACGCGGAAGAGTGCGTCTTGTTGGTACAGAAGAGAGACAGCGCCGCTTTTAGGGACAGATAAGTACCTAGTAGGTTGGTGCCCAGATAAGCAACAGCCAGATACATAGACACGGAGCGGAGCGCGCCGTCGCGGCGTCTCACCATTCCACAACGCCGGGTCGCGGACCCCAGGCTAGCTAATCTTGAATGGCTCATGGTCAGCAGGACAAGAGTCAACCACCCACTTGCACGAGGAAACAACGTTGTTTGCAGCGTGAAACGTGTCGAACCAAACGTGGCAGTGGCTTGCTTTATTAGTATGAGCGAGCGTGCATGCGACTACGGATCGGGTATACCATTATGCGGTCCATATCAAAGTACCGAAAGACTTGGTGCCTGCCAGGCAAGGCGCCAAGGTACTGAAGGTAAGGTACTGAAGGTAAGGTACCTGAGGCAGGTACTTGCTTGCGCTCTTCATGCTCTATGGCCAGCACATCATCCTGCACACATCGTGCATCGTGATGCTGCCACATCTCTCATTCTGGCTCGGATCTCGTTCGCATCGAGCCTCCCGCATCTTGGGCCATTCCAAAAGAGCCCGGGGGCACCATCTCCGCGGTGATGCGACTCGCTCCCATGACACAGCCTTGTTCACTCTGTGATAAACCTGCGTGCCGTGGGGGAAACATCCCAAGATGCAGCAGCTGTCCGTCCGTCGCGAGTTCTCTCTCATCAAGCCCCCTCAAATCGCACCCCCTCAAACAAGTCGGTTCGGTTCCACGATGCAGCCCAAGTCTCGCAAAAAGCATCGCGCGCCCTCATCACCGCCTGCATGGGGGGCAGTGCTACGGCTTGCCTGCTGCGCCCAGCGATGCAATGGTCTGTCACTGTCTGCTAAACTACCTAATAATTAAAGGCCCTTTCCTCAGTTCGCCTGGTAAGGCTCAGCCCAGTACGACGCTAAACTGGTTTGAAAGCTGTGATGAGCTGCTGGCGCCGTTCGTCACAAAAGCGGCGGGCGACTTTGCCAGCTGCCCAGCGTACAAACGTCGTCGTGCCGGGCCGCCGCCCGTTTTCCTTATTAGTTGGGCTCTGCACATCATCTCGGGCCCTTTTTTTCTTGCTCCAACATTGCCATAATACCCATCTGTTCCATCATCCTCATTATACATCATACATTGTTCTTATCCCATACAGCTTTACTCATCCTTAATTTCAACTTGTGTTTTAGCGACCTGTTTCCTCCGCTACTGCTCTTGTGCTGGACGCAACACCAAGACCCGCCATCACCGCCCAATCCCGTTGCTGCCTGGCGTCCCATTTCCGCCCCCAGACAAACCTGATATCTGCGTCGGCTACCTCTCCCACGTCACCGACACTGCTGCGAGCCGCATTTCCATGCTCGCTTGCCCTAGCGTCGCTCAGAATATATTAGATCAGGATCCAGAGCCAGCTTGGACCCCGTACAACCACGGTGATCCGCCCTACACATAATTAAGCGCATGCGAGAGTATGAGCCGCCAGCAAAATGAAACGACTGCCCCGGCGTGGCCGCCCTCTGCCGAGGCCAAACTCAATGATCCCTCTATCCACAAAATCCTCTCGAGGGGCCAAGGTGACCCATGGACTACGTTTGCGCGGCAACAACAGCCTCCTAGCATCGGTCAGAACCCATGGTGCCCCATGGCCTATAGGGGCAGTATCAGCGTCCTATCCGATGATGGTCCGTTTCTCGAGCCGCCGCCAGGAGATGCCCGCTTTCCATATGAGGACGTCGCTTCCGTCACCGGCCGCCCTGGCCACGAGGCTACCGGTTCTGCACACGTGCAGCAACTGCTCAACGGCTTCCAGATTGGCAACCCAGGCCCGCATCTGCCGTCCATGCGAGACAGCACAATTGATGCTGCGAGCACTTTCTCCGCAAGCACCGCTGGGACCGGTCTTCGCGGCCCCCTCAAGTGCAAACAATGTGACAAGGTTTTTAAAAGCCAGTCCAGCCTCAAGTAGGTTTCGCCCGATGACATTCCACACCGCCATCCCTCCTAACGTCTACTTCTAGAAAGCATACACTGAGCCATTCACGCCCACATCGGTGCAATTATCCCGCCTGTAGCAAGAAAGACGGGTTCAGCACACCCAACGACTTACAAAGGCACAAAGAGTCGGTTCACAAGGAGGCAAGGGATGTCTATCAGTGTACAACAGGAGACTGCGCCGGGGCCTCTCAGCCAAAATGGTGGCCACGAAAAGACAACTTCCGCACTCACATGTTCAAGGTACATAAAATGGACATTTCACCAGATGACGCAATTGCGTATTCGGTCCGGTAAGTGCGCCCATCCGAATTGTCCACTCGAATGCCCACTGATGTTTTAAGTAGACTGGATCCCAAGATCGCGAATACCGCGCCATCTAGTGAGGTCACAACGTCGGAGGACCTCGCGGATGCACAATTGGCCGGGACAGGCAACGAGGTCGCCGAATCAACGCTGATGGACGTAGATCAGTTTGCATATTTTCTTGCAAATTCAGATTCACATCACTTCCGAAATCTGAGCGGGCAAGCTGGCGTGGACGTTGGCGAGGGTTCGTATTCGTTACAAGGATTCGAGCCACCAGATTTTGGAGGCCAATCGTTCACGACGCAAACGATTCCAGCCGCTAATAGTAGCATTTTCATGACGTCCATGGTCAGCGATACCAGCTACCAGATGCCGCCTCAGCCAGGGCCACCGAGCCAGGGCGTGAGTGCCGTGGATGAGATCCAAGTGGCATACTCCCCCAAGACCGGTAGCGGTTTGAGCTCCAGTGGTCCCCGGGAGAACTTGAGTGCTGCAAGTTCTCAGAAAGTCAATGCACCGAGTCATGACGTTTTGGTCAACGACGGCTGGACAAATTCGCAGCTCGTGGATCACCTAGAAACGTTTCCGGTGGAGCTTCTACGACAGGCTTTGAGGTCAAAACAAGACTCCAAAACCCCCAAAAACTCCAACGAGCCTGAAGAAAATTCTCATCCCAAATCTCGCTATCAATGTATCGAGTGCAAAAAGGTCTGCAATCGAGCCTGTGAGCTTAAGTGAGCCAAAGTATGTTTTGGCGCATCTCGCGCCGGGCTACAACAGTCACTAACAACGCAATAGGAAGCACATGAAGCGGCATGACCGGCCTTATGGCTGCACTGTAAAAGATTGCGGCAAAAATTTCGGTAGCAAAAACGACTGGAAACGACACGAAAGCGCGCAGCATGAACCCGTGGAGGCCTGGGCGTGCGATGAAGACGGCTGCATCGCCATTTGTGAGGATCGTCTTGCATTCATGCAGCATCTCATGGAAGCGCACGACATGGTCCATGACGAAGACCTTCGGTCGAGGGCGCAGAGCTGCCACATCGGAAGACAATGTGATGCCAAATTTTGGTGCGGTTTCTGCGGGCGGGTCATTGAAATCGACGATATAATGAGTCAGGACGACGGCAGCAACGGCTCACCCTGGAGTCGCCGCTTTGATCACATTGACTGCCACTTGTTCGGGAAGAATGGCTTTGAGAAGAAGGACAAAAGCCACTGGCGATTTCTGGAAGACGGGGCCAAGGGTGAGAGCGGGTTGTCTCGTCGATCGATGGATGAGAGGAGCACAACCGCCAGCCTACGGAGTGGCAATACCAGCCACGGAGTGCCATATAAACGCAAAGGCTCGGAGAACGCTGATTCTCGTCCTCGAAAACGGGCTGACGCACAATGGGCCCCACGCAATCATCGAGGCAATGGATAAATATAAGCGGCCACATGTACAGTTCAAATGCGAGATGGATAATGAAATAGAACGACCGAGTCGGAACCAGGCCGGAGAGTGCTGGATAATGGGTCATGTATCATGAATGGACGTGAATTATGGAGTTTTACATTGGGAGCACTATCTTTATTTCCTTACATACATCCATGGTTCTGAGGAGCGGCGGAAGCACACTAGAGATCAGAGAGGCACGGGCGGAAGGATGCACTATATTTTCGGGCGGATAAGACTGAAACGAGAAGACGCTGGCGCGGGAGGGTGGAATATGATCTGGCAACTGCCGAATGCCCCGGCGTGGGCAGAGAGGACCACCAGGATATAGGAACTGAGGGTGAATTCTGACAGGCCACAGAATCGGAGAAACGAGTCCAGATATCTAACGAACTACGATTGTCCACTTACAAAGCAGAATGCCCGTTCACAATATAAACATGCTCGTATTGAGGTGGAAGTGCGAACGCTGATTGTGTGATTCAGCCTCGGCTGGAAATTTCGCCGGGCGATTAGAGATATCAGACTCATTTCGACAGCTCCGTGGCACTTGGATTGTTCGTTGCACCAAGAGTAGTATGCAGGGGAGCGGTGCATGGATTCCGTCTCTCGGGTGAGGCCCGTTGGTGCAGCTTCGCTGGAACTGGCAGCAAGAACTACATCAACCTGGATGTAGTGAACCGAGGGGGCCTGGCCAGTCCTTGTCGATCTCGTACGGGCAGAATGGCGTTATTGACACGAATGACACACTGGCGAACCCCAGCGGGCCGTCTCGAAACGAGGAGAGCCGCTCCGCGATGGTCAGTAGAGGAGCACCAACACAGTTTAGGGGCGTTTCCGGGGGACTGCCGGCAACGCCGAAACAGAAGTGGCTTTGTACACGGGCAGAAGATGCAGAAGGCTTCACGTGGTAGCCCATACAACACCCCAACGCGGGAGTGACCATGGAAGAGCATAGCATCAAGCCAAGCAATTCATTTACGAGCGGTGGTTTTAGCTAAAGCAGACGGAAATGTAACGGTGCCGGATTGCGTGTCGCAAGTGTGGTTGCATTTGTAAGCCCATTTTATGGATTTGGAGCTGAGAGATTTGGGGCGGACAGTTGTTGGTGAATTACACTACACGCCCAAGATGGAGAGATGTCGATGAGATGGCGGTGGCTTGTAGGAGAGACTATAAGGGGACCGTACCAGACTACGGTCGTTCTTCGGCACGTTGGCGTAAGTTATAGGCCATAGCCTTTTGCAATAAGCCTAGAAAGTGGATGAATTTTTCATGAACAGTAGACGGGCGAGACTAACACGGCATTTCAGACGATGGGGTGAGGAGGGTGTGTAGGGCGTGCTCGATGACGAAGCATGACAAAAAAACCCCATTTCTGCTAATTATGGCACTGAGGGGGGCTGGGCCAAAAGTCCCTCCAGCCGCAATAGCCTCGGGGAAGGGTTTCCCCCGGCGGCCTTACAGATACGCAAGGGCCGGCCGAGAGGAGGGGGGCGTTGTCGATGTGGCGGCAGACTTTTTGGGGCAACTAAGCAGGGGCGTTCCGGAGAAGAGCATTTCCGCAGCTGGTTCGTGGCTCGCGCGGTACATTTGAGAGGGGGGAGGACCGCGTTCTGACCAGTGGTGAGGTCGATGCGATGCGGCGGTGCGGACATGCAAAGAGAGGGGGGGCAGTAGGGCGAAGCAGAAGAGGTTCGAGTCTTTTTTCTTTTGGTGCGCATCAGTGCGGAATCAACAAGAGAGAGAAGAGAGAGCAGAAGAGGTAAGAACCAATGGGAAGCGCAATCATTCAGTTAGAGTCACGCATCTAAACGCTCTTTTCTACGACCAAGTTGGAGGACACTAAGACGGCGTCACCATAAACTAGTCTCAAGTTGGTTCATGGAACGGGGAGGGTGGCGTGGAGAGAGGGGACTTTACGGGCCTTTCTAAGTTAGCATTTCAAAACGGTGTCCCTGCGGCTCCATTTTCTCGAAGCGGTACGCAGACCAAAAAAAAAGTACACCATACCGAGTGTGGAACGAGAGGAGGGGGGGACGGTACGGTGGGATGGCATGCTGCAGGGCTGGGTTTCGAATGTACTTGTGAACTGCGGTCGTATTTGTAGGAAGCTAAAAAAGAAATGAATTCTGGTGGAAAGAGACAAAGGAAAACATGGTGTTGTTGCTGCGTGCGGGACTTTCATTATCCGTTAAAGACCATGTTGGTTCGTCTGTTTCCGTTGGTAATGCCAAGACGAAGAAGACAAGACACCAACGACTATCCCCCCCCCATTTCTATACCGCAATTCAATAGGATGTGTAAAAACTGTTTAAAAGACTGAAGAAAGAGAAGCACCATATGACTCTACCACTTGGACGTGCGCGCCGCCGCCGCCGCCGGAGATAGCTACGGTTCTAGACAGTTGACTAAAAGAGGGGGGGTGAAAGGGGCGTGTTCCCAATAAGAGCCAAGTCGTTTTTAATTTATTTTTAACCCCTGCTAGCGGCTAGGGCGAAGAGCTGGGGGAAAACAGAAGATTGAAGTGGGGTAAAACAGACCCAGCAAAGTGCAGTCTCCACCTCGTCAATACCTTTCCGCCATTGGTGCAAATACGCGGAAAACCGGGGCGATGCAACTTGGCGTTGGCAGGCTGGTAGGGCAGAAGAGGAGGAGGGGGGGGGGGCAGGGACGAGGTTGCATTGCGTGTTTCTGTAATGTACAGAGTATTATACGGCGGAACGATCAAAGAGACATGCATGGGGATTTGAAAAAAAGGAAAAAAGGCGGAATGGGGGGAGTGGGTGGGCTGCGACAATGTCTGGGCTGTCTGGGGGCGAAACAAGCTGTGAGGAACACAAAAAGGTTGATGCGACTTGTTGTCCTGCAGTGAGATTGTTTGCTTCTATTTTTTATTTTCATTTTTTTTAACGCGTTTTGCCTCTTTTGCCTTGGCGGCCTAGATCTTGCCTGCGCCTTCATGTAAAGTACGTAGTGATGTGGATTAGGGGGGCAAAGGGACTTTGTACAGCTGAGGCGGCCAACCAACGCCTCAAGGGGCGGCGAACTGAGTGGGACGAGCAAGGACCCAAGTTGGGTATTCAGTGCGGTGTGATGTGATGAACAAAACAGTACTGGGACAAGATGTTGTTACTGGGACAAGATTGGCAGGTAGAAAAGCGTTGTAGTTGGAAGGGAACGGGATATCGGGTCCTCGTCTATAACGAGGTCAGAGCACGTTGCAGAGCAAGACATGGCTTTCAGAAAATATCACAGGCATGTAACCAACTAGTTTGCAAAAACGACTTGGGGCGACAAAGTGCCTCATCTCGGAAGCCTGAAGCCCCTGTCATCCGTCCGCGCACACCGGCCGAGAGACAAAATCGCAACTAATACTGCCTCTACTTGTACGGCCGCATGTACTTGCAGCCCTGTCCCTGACTGTAGAGCAACCTCTCTGACCACCCACCCAGCATCCCCAGCTTGTCAGCTTCGCCTCGATCGACAGAGAACGGGCAAAGTGGAAAATAGTGACATCGTACCCGGGTGAAACCTAGAAAAGCCCCCCCACCCTGTTGGCTTTTTTTTCGGGACGTGCCCGAACTTGCCGTTTAGCGTTGCGACTGCGTTGCGACTGGAGGGAAAATACCCGACCGTCGGCTCGCGACGGATCTGATGGTTCTCGAGATAACTCAAATGAAGAAGCCACAACAACAAAAGAAAAATACCAAATGCATTAAATACCACGAATTCAAAAACTAGTCAGATACCCAAGAAAAAACAACGCGTGTATAGCCCCGCAGTCTGGCCTGCGGCAGGGTGATTCACACTGTCCCTAGCGCTCTGAGGCAACACGCACACCCCCTCCCTCTCTCATAAGTAAACCATGTTATCTGTAGATGGATCAACCACACTTGATTCTGCCTTTTTTTCACATTCCCCCTGCTGTAATTTTGTACGGATATTTTCTACAAATTAGTTATCGGCAAAAGAGTGATGCAGCGCATGGTCCGCGATAACCCGCACACACACACACCCTCGGTGGTTGGTTGGTTCGAGGAAGTCGATGCGGCGCAACCTGCACATCAACCTCAGCCCCGCGGCGCGCCTCCCTAAATATATACACAATGGCAGCCCAAAGAAAAAGCGACAAGTGATGAGCAATGCAAATGCACTCTGCCGAGTGTATTCTTGTACATGTTTTCTGCAAGTTTGGTTCGCACTGCGGTCTGCCTTGCCGATCGTATCGATAGCGTGCTGCAGTTTGACAAGTCGTTGTCTCGGTGCCTAACGGGGAAACTCGGCGGTTTTCTATTTTTTTTTTTCTTGCTTGCTGCTTCATCAAGAGCTTGGTCATTGCTCTCTCTCTAGGGTTTATTTTTTCGTCTTCTTTCTTTTCAATTCGGTATCAGTAGTGGTCGTTGTTGGATCGGCCGCCCGAGGGTGCCGAACAGTGATTGGCCAATTTCTCACCCCAAAAAGGCCAAGTTACATTTCTCCAATTCCGCCTTTTGGTGTAATCTTACTTGAGTCTCTCAACCAACAAAACCGCATGTGCCCCCCCTCGCATTCGGATTGTACAAAGTCAAAAAGTCGTCGCAGCGGGTGTGGGTAGCATCGCGCTAGATGGCGGGTGCAACCATTGGCCGAACTCGTCGTTGACAGCGGCCGAGGTGGGGAGGAGGGCGTGGCGATGAGACAACTAATCTTCGTTCATAGTAAAAACTAGCCCAAAATGTGTACAAATTATGTACATTTACTTTGTGGGGAGATTGTGTGCGAGCGCCGTGTATTTCCTTTGTTGTCTTCGCGGCGGCCGTGCTGCCACGACGGCCACGGCGACAACAGACCGCAAAGGCCACTGCCAAAAAAAGTTCCCATTATTACCTCCCATGGAACAGTACCTCATTGGTCCGTTCGCTTGTCAGCCTCTCGACCGGCCGAGAAGCTTTGTTGTATAAATTTGTATGTGCTGCGTGCTGCAGGGGGGGTAGGATTGAGCCCTGCGCCTTCTTTTTTTTTTATCCTTTTTTTTCTTGGTCCAGCAAGAAGAACACGATCCAAGCGACGATTTCGACCAAATATCAGGCTGCGCAGCTGAGATTCACCTCGAGGCGGCCAACCAGCGATGTGTACAACGCCGGAGCCTCATGGGGGCCGTAAGCCTGAGATCCTTTTCGGTGGTACAGTTTCGAAGGAACTGCGCCTATCCTTTCTTTTGGGGGAGGGGCCGAGGTCGTTTATTTTCTACTAGCCCGCTATTGGAGAAAGCATGATCTCCATCTTCCCGTTTTAGTTCATTTGCTTTCCTGCAGCCCGTACCTAGTGGCTTGAACTGCTGTATCCTGTGGGCGTGCCAAAACCGACAAGGCAGTGCGGAGAATAATAGAATAGCACAAAAAAAAGGCGAGACATGCCCTGCGCGGGTCTGCGGGCAGCCGAGTACTCCATATGTATGTACAAACCCCCAGACCAAGCAAGGGCTGGCTGGGTGCCCAAATAGATCAGACGTCGAGGCAGTGCCAGGGGGGAGGGAGGGAGAAGCTAGGCGGCGACTTTTGCCCGTTTGGCATATTGGCACAGCACATGAGCTAGCAAGACACGTTGGGCGTCAGTGATCTATTCCTGTTCTCCTTCTGCATCAGACATGCGACAGGTATGGGATCGGCCGCGTGGCAGTGAATCGTACTGTGCACTTGACGAGCTTCTGTCGCGTAGCATAATCAGCAGCCGCCAACTGGTTGAGCTTCTGAGCAGCCAGGGGTACTTATCTCTGGTAAACTGACTTATGAGATGTCGCAATTTTATATTTAATTTTTTTTTCCCTGAGATAGCCGTATTCCAGCCACTATGGACGTCGTTAGCCATATTCTAGCCACTATGTCGTCAGCCAGATTCCAGCCACGAACGCTGTCGTCAGCCATTCGCGCACCGGTGTCGAGAATCGCGAGTGCTAATCCCAAACAAGCGAATCAATGCGGCAATGCCTGCCGGGCTTGCCAACGACATGTCTTATACATTTTTGTCCCATGTGTATGTGCATTCCCGGGCAAAACTTAAAAATAAAAAGGTACAGCTGTACAACGCACACGGCTGCATGCATTCTAACTACTGGGAAACACGTCACGAAGAGCAAAACATGCAACGTCGCAACGTAACAAAAGAAACAGAGATAGAGAGACCGTAGGGTGGTTGGGTCGAGACTGATATGCAATGGAGTTATTATAGAATCGGTCTGTGCTATTTTTATTGTCTCGGAAGGTTCACTATAACTACGAGGCACTGGTGATAGTGAGTCAGAGCGCTCTGAATGACCGGATTGGGTGGCCTGCCGCAGTAGGTACTGCGCCTGCTGTTGTTGCAGCACGAGTCTGCATGTCTGCAAGTTTTAAAGCGGGCTTGGCCCGAGAGACTGGTACGGGCAAAACGGAGGCATGAAGTGTAGTCGCTGTGGATGATGTGATCGCGGACCTAGTTATTAGCCCAGAGGCTCTCGACCGTGTTAGTGTTACTGAGCGCCCCCAAAACCGGTCATTCTGGAGGAGATGGCGCGCCCTGGGGCCCCATATCGACGCGGGGCTTGTCAGAGGTGGTCCGTCTCTGGTCGTGAATCTGCAAATCGATCATGCCGCACGGGAGAGCTGCGATGCGGACTACTGGGGGGGAGAGCGTGTGTCTGTGTTCCTCTTTGCTGTTGTTCCATGCGCGACCCCTCATGTCAGCGGGGTTCCATTATAGACGAGAAGGGGTCGTTTGAACGCGAATGGGCGAGGGCGACAAAGGGAAGCCTCCGCCGTGTTAGTTATCCGTAATCATCAAGTCGAGCCATCTTTTGGGGGGTGGCAGGGCGCGCTTCATCCTGCCAACTCTGACTGGGCTCCCGCAGAGGCCGTCTCTCACGCCCCCCAACGTGACACGACCGCAGGTCTTTGTGGCGTGCCGTGGCCGTGTCTCGACGCAAGTCACTTATAATCTACAGACTGCATGGGCACCAGTTTCAGTGATTCAGCCCACGGATGCCGGCGTTGATGCTGCAGGTGGTCAGGCCAAAATACAGGGCAGTACGCATGCGGAGTACAGGTCTCCTGTAGCAGCCCCTAATAGCAGAGACGTTGACGGTACCATGGACAGCGGACAGGTTTGCCTGCCGCTGATAGCCCCCCCGTTGATATTCATTACCATGTCTCTGTTATGGGCTGCAAGAGGCACAGCGTTACAAATCACCCTTCTCTTCTTTGCAAGCTTGCGGCGGGCCTTCTCGTTTACTGGTAGTTACGGGGTAACTACGGGGTACGGTACGGAGTAGTTACAGCTACTATAACCACCAAAATCGTGGCCGCGCTACCTGCGCTTTTACTGGCCAATTCATCCACAGCCACCCCCTCCCCCTCCCCTTGCACCATCCACATCCACCGCAATTCCATCATCACCAATTGTCTTTCGATCCTTTGTACGCTTCAGTCATCACTCACCCCCCGCTCGCTGCTCGCTAGCTTGTCGGGCTCCAAGCACATATCCATGCGTCCCACGAAGCGGCTCCCCACTGGCGCCACGACAAGAGGTCGGTTAAAGTGCCAGACGGGACCAATATCATCCGCCGGCTGTTACGAACAACAAAGAGTCATTTCGGGTCCAGACAGGAAACGCAAACGAGTTCTAGTGCATGGGACCATCTTGTCAGGGAAAACTGAGACTAACTACCTCTACGGAGTATCATTCTGCCTCTCGATGCAACCCAACGCAAACGGCTGACGGCATGCTGCTGAGCAACTGACCACCAAACAGTCACTCTTCAGACCAATCCCCACAAACAGCTGGCTTCCAGCGCACCCTTCGCTTGGCTCGTTTCTGGAATTCCCTCGATGCTTCTGTTACCGATCCCTCGTCCTGGCTGACTCGGTGTGTTGCAATTGTCATGCAGGCCGTGCCAAACGGAAGATTGCCCAGCGATGCAGGAGGTCAGCATCAACTTAGACATTCGCCCGCACAGCCCCGACCACGCGCAAATCGCAAAGTAGTGACACTCTTCGGTATATATAAAAAAACAGGGTGTTTTCCTGTGACATCAACGTTGGGCGTCACACCGGTCACGATTCAAAGCCTCATCTTGACGAAAATGGCAACCACCGCTAGTCTCGGCTTAGCCATCATCGCCACACCAGATTCCACATCAGGCGAAAACCGCCCACAGCGCCTCTTGACGCCAGCATCTCTTGACAGCCCCTGCCAAGAGACACAAACGATATCTTCAACCAATTCCGGCTCGCTCATAGGGATCACCATCACCAATAGTGGCGCATTCAATGGACAAAAAGCCGTGGGATAACTAGCTCTTTGGCTCATATACGTGGCTTGCCTCGAAATCAGTCATGCCTCAGTTGCGACGATCTCCAACGAGTCGCAGCGTCGCAGCCTCATGGTTTCTTCTGGCCCGCACGCACGCCCCCGTGTGGTTCTCAGCCCTGTAGAAAGGGCACCAAAAACGAACTTTGGCTTGCGTGCCTGTCGAGATTCCAGCTAAGGCGCTGCCTGATTTTTGGCGTCCTTTTTGGCAGCTCGGACAACAATTGGGAACTTTGGAGCCCCCAATGGCTGGTTTAGGTGGACACAGCCACCTGTTGACACTCGTGGCTGTTTGCTTTGGGGGCCTCGCCCTGGCTGGTTGCATCAGAGGCTGATCACTCGCAGACAATCCAACCGCAGACTTGAGACTCAGTCACATCCTGCATATGCCTGGTCTGTCCGTCGCTCTACTGGCATCGTCCACGGTGAGCTTCTGCACAGCGCCGAGTCCTCTGCACATCACCGTGCAGCACTGCCAGCAGGTACAAACAATGCTGTGCGCCCCGGTGCGGCCAAGCATTGCGCAACACGTCGTTGCGTCACTGCTAGCTAGTGGTGTTAGCCTCCAGCAAATCGGCCCGGCGCAGGGGGTGGCCCGGGGGCGGAACCCTCACCGATAACCACGCACACCACGGTACCAGCAGCACTGACGACCGACACCACGGCAGACTCGTACCTGTGACTCTCATTACAGTGGGCAGGCACTATTTTAGTCCCCAGACAGGACATGGCCGAGCGATTCAAGAACGAAGCTTCGTACAATCTCACAGTAGTTGGCCCCGGGTTGAAGTCCTATGCAGATCAGTTGTTGCTTCATAATGCCGAGAGAACTGTAATATTTTGTCCGTCACGATGTTGTTTAACTAGTCAATTTCCAGGGCGAGTCATCGAGTCGCCGAACCAACAAGGTCTTGTCGGAGCCTGCCGTACTCCGCGCTGGACAAATTTACGGATAGACGCAATGCGACCGGCGACCGGAACAAGCAGACTCCACCGCCTACCAGAAAATGTGCGCCTAGGAGCCTGGCTCCAGGGGCCGAACTGGTGCAAGTCAGTGATTCCAGGGCATGCTGTCCACTACCTACAGTACAGCCTCAGCCCCGGCAGCACCTGTCTCGATAAACGAGTTCCGCAATTCGCGTTATTGCCAGCATTGGCCTCAGTGGGACCCCTTCAACCCTTGTTCTGGCACATGGCAGTGCCCTTGTCGCCCACTTACCGTTATGCGCATCCTCCGTTTTGCGCCCTGAGCTTGGATTACGTGCCAACTGATAGATATCAGTAACTAGACACATCGTCTATTGCGGGGCGGGTCCTAGTAATCGCGACCAGCTCGCGAGTACAGCAAGAAAACAAACGTTTGCGCTGATGGTGCCGCCGAGATGGGTGTCTTTTCGCATGAACAGGCGCTAATGAGATGACGTCGATTTGCTCCAGGTTCTTTTGACAGCACCACGGCAAGTGTCGTCACCAGTGTGGTCTAGAATTGGCGGACCGAGGAGACGCTTCGAGACGCCTCGTACAACGCCTCTGTGCTTGGAATACGCCGGAGTTAACATTGTGCTCTTTTGACAGCGCTACCACCGCCCTGTACACATCAAGGTTGACCCTAAAACGGTGGATTGCCCGGTCATTGCCCAAAAGAGCCTACGGAGGCTAGTTGGCTAGGGCTGCGGAGGTTCAGCGGAGGCGACTGAAAGGCCCCAAGTCTCCTGCCACCAGTTACAGACAGGTCTGGGGAGGGGGGGGCGTGTCTCACAGAATAAACGAGGCAACTTGAACGAAGGCAAGATTCCCACCCCCCCTCTCGGTCGTCGGCAGGCCAGGCAAGGCGAAGGCGCTGGGCTGTAAGTTGGCGGCCGATCTCGTCATGGTCGTTACCAACTAACTTGCAGCATTGGTAGGAATTAAAAATAAAAGCTGCCTGCATCGATCTAAAAAAGAAGAGCCTTCCTCCACGCCTCACCCTAACGAGATAGACTCACACGCCCTGGCCCCCCTACCTGAGCTTCTTGACGAGGAGGTGGTGGACCCTTGGCATCGTTGCATCTGCTTGGTTTGGCAGAATATATATCTCTGGTCCGCTTCCCTCTTGGTCTCACACCGGATCTTGTTTTCCAATCCTCAATCAGTACCGCAGACTTTCTCGAACCTCGAACTATTCCCCCTCTCACGCTTCCGAGATACCACATCAGTCTACCTGCGCATATTCCACGCAAACCAAGGCATGGTCCCCAACCTCTTGCAGCTCAACCCACCTTCAGCTCTTCCGAAGATAGCAATACGTGCCGCTGCAAGCATTATTCTGCGCTAGCCGCCAAATCTGCTGGCCCAAATAGAAACGCTGCCGCCGTTGGACTCACTTCTGCCACCAACGAAATCCTGCAATTCGCCGTTTTTTGGCCCCCGTCTGGTTCCCCATCCCACCCATCCATACACCACCCCCCTCCCCTTCTGCCTGCTCGTTGGCCCGCATATATTCTACCCGTTTCCTCTCTCCTCTCTCTCTCTCTCTGTTCTGGGACAGGATGCTGGCCCAAAACCCCCCCAACAACTTGCAATTCACTCTGCCTGCTGTCAACCAGCTGTTGACATTTGACGACCTCCGGTCTCTTTCTCCGGCTCATCTCGACGAGTCTGCTCAGTTTGCCAGCGACGCTTCCAGTTGTCACTCTACTATGCCACACGCCTTTGTGTACAACACCCCCGAGACCTCACACTTTGACGCCGTCACTTACGACAGTAAAAACACGACGTTGCAGGGCAGTGTCGCCTACAGCCTGCCCTTGTCTTCGCCTACACAAAGCCTTCTCAGTCACTCCATTGAGAGCGACTTTCCCATGGAAAGCTCACACGGTCCTAGCACACCAGAAGAGTGGTCCGCGATGCTGTCTGACGCCGACAGGAGCTACCAACAAACCCAACACCAACACCAACACCCGTGGAACGGTGGTGTAGCTCCGTACTACGACGGCTACGCCGCGCCGGACATGTCGTGCTCGAGTATCCAAGCCTCCCAGATGGCTCACCTCGGTGCTGGCTTTGAGAATCAGCCCAACATGCACCCTTCTGACGATTTGCTCACCACTACCACAAGCAGCGCCTATCCTGCCTTTGTCTCCATGGCGCCTCTACCGTACGGCCGCGACCTGAGCCACAGCGGTTCCAACTCGTCTGTGCCTCGCGGGTTCAGCCAACACAGCGATGTCTTTTCCGGCTTGCTCGTTCCCTCGATCGATAGCGATGCGAGACACTCTAGCCCATCTTCCTTTAGCACCGGCGATGACGCCACTACCAACACACGCGCTTCGTCTGTTTCCGTTCCCCGCAAGAGACAGAGCCGCGAGATGAAGAGGCAGCAGCGTCGCCCATCGCCCGTCAGCGTTGGTCGTGCTTCCCATACCATCTTGCCATACCCGACTCCCTCATCCGCTACTCCCACCACCCTGCCCTCCATGAGAACTCTTGCCGAAAATGCCACGCCCGAGTGCATGGAGTGCAAACAAACCTTTCGCGACGTTCCTACCCTCCAAAAGCACGTCAAGTCTGAGCACACACGACCGCTCCTCTGTGTCTTCCACTACGCGGGGTGCACATCCCGCTTCCCCACCAAGAATGAGTGGAAGCGTCACGTTGCCTCGCAGCACCTCGCGCTCCGCTACTGGATCTGTATCGAGGGCACCTGCGGCCAGACCCGCGGGCCCTCGACACGCTCCCGGGCCCGGAACCTGCCCGCCTTTGGCTCCATCTTCAACCGCAAAGACCTGTACACGCAGCACATTCGCCGCATGCACACGGGAGCGTCTGAAGGTGGCAGCCCCGTGCTCGGGTCGTCGAAGAAGTCCGTGCCTAGCGAGGTGGAGGACCGCGTACGCGCACTCCAGGCCAACGCCGCCCGCACGCGGTGCGTCCTACCGCACTTCATGCGGTGCCCCGCGCCCAACTGCCCCTCGGAATTCCACGGCCCCAATGCCTGGGACGACCGCATGGAGCACGTGGCCTGCCACCTCGAGCGCGCCGCCGCCGGCGAGGAAGCTCCCGTGTTCTTTGGCGGTCCCGGCGACGAGACCCTCACCAAATGGGCCGCCGCCGACGGCGTCAACGTCACCCGCCAGACGGCGGATGGCACCTGGACGCTGTGCAACCCGCTGCGCGGCGAGGGCGGCGGCAACTCGCGCGGCGGTCGCTCGCGCGCCAGCGTCTCTTCAGCGGCCACCCGCCGCGCTTCAATGGCGCGGCACACTGCTGACGAGGAGGACGCCGAGGGCGAGGACTGCACTTCCTGGAGTCGGTCATGACTGGGTGATGGCGATGGAAGAGGATAGAGACCATTTACAATGGGTCTTGCACTTGTCATGAATCTGTGCTTTCTTTAGCGAAGCGGGTTTGTTTTGCTTTCATTTGGTTGCTTTAACTTGTCCGGGAAAAATTGGGGGAATCCATCTTATTGGTTCAGACATGTTTGCTCACTTTTTGTTTCTTGATACCTGTTTGTTCTTGCTCCCACCACATATCTTGTTTCTTTCAACGATTCGTGGTTTTTACTACTGTACACCGAGGATTTCTGGGACGGCTTTGTGTTTGCGCATCAGTTTTTTTTCTTCTCTTGTCCATTTCACCTTTTTTTGATAGATGTAAACATGTTTCACAACAAGACGAGCATGATTCGCTTCTTATTTTCCACTCACATGGACCTACCTACCTCTCTTGCCAGCAAACCTCTTTTCTTCCTGTGATTGTCAAGGCGAATGATGACTATGTGGCCACTGACATCATCCGGGACGTATCTTGATTGACTACGCCTTCAATGGCCGTTTCCGCTTTGGGATACCGCCGAACTCACACACACACCCCATCACCGCCGCCCATCAGCTGAGGCGTTCTTTTGCGTGGCAGGGCTTGGCTCGGTGGGGAGGGGGGTGGGCGGACGGGCGGACACGGGGCTCTACAAATCCCAAAGAGCTCTGGCACCGTTCTGAGCGGTTCGGGGGCGACGAGGGTGCAACGGCCAAGAGGCGGCGTCTGGATCGAGGGTTGTGCGTGGATGGGTTCCTACTCACTAATGGCATCTTCAACTTAGCTGACAAAACCAAACAAGTAGGACGAGAGCAGTGCATCACTGCCTATAGGTACTTATAAAGAATAAACAACATTATTATTAAACCGCGTAAAGAAAGCGGCCTGGAACACTATATGATATTCTACGCAACATTGATAATCCAATTGGTAACGTCTGCATTATCCGATACATTCATCCCCTCATTCGCGCTTCTCCTGTAAAATCAATCCGAAGACCTATTGAAATAATGAGTAAGAGAAACGATAGCTAAGAAATATGTATTCGGTCCAACTGATCAAGGTGCATTCGTCGACTGCACGGGTGCTAGGGTGGTGCTAGAGTCGTTGAGGCACACACCGCAGGCGGATTGTTTTAGATCATGCAGCAGCCACTGCTTTGGCTGGCACAAGGTGAGACTCGGGCTTGTCTCCGCTGTCCTTTTTGGGGAGCTTGACTCTTTGGGATCTCCGCTGTTGCCGGGCCTTGCATTCAACGGCATACCCCGGTTCATTGGCCTTTCGCCATTCAATCCACTCCTCATATGCTAGCTGAGCACCGGCGTTAGGAAAAACCGGCTTCGGGACTGGCGGCCTTTGGCTGTTGGCAGGAAAGTTCGGCCTCTCCAGTCCAGTCAGGAGCGGCATTGGTCCGAGAGCTGCAAGTGAGGCAAGGTACGGCAGAGCCGCCATCTGCTGGGCAGCGGCGATTTGTTGCGCTGTCAAGTTTCCAAAAGGCATCATCGGAGTTTGGATACTGGTCGCAGGTGGAACTGCAAAGACTGATGGCTGTGAAACTGGGTTTCCGGCCAGATACTGAGGAGTGTCAAGAGTCTCTGGGACAGGTCCCAAGTTGAAGCCCGCGCCGAGTGGTGCCACTGGTACATTCAATGAACCATTGACAAAGTTACTTTGATCCTGGGGTGTCAGATACGGATTGAACGGGAGTGGGTTGGCTTTCGGCCATGCCGCAGATGCAGGTTGTGGCAATGGGTTGAGGTTGTGCGAGGCCTTCTCCCGCAAAGTCTGCGAAGTCTGCAAAGCAGCAACGTCAGTGTCCCAGGGAAGTGGACGCCGAGAGTTTTGTCGGTATCCCAGTGACAAGAATTCTCTCGCTTTCGGATTCCACGTGCTTTGCTTGTTGGAGACCTGTACGGTACTTTCGGAGCCTTCACGACTAGTCACACTTGACTGGCTACGGTCCCAATAGTCCACCTTGAAGTCGGATATAGTTTGGTTGCGTCGGCCTTCACCCGCCGTGGGTCTTCGAAAATTCGCAAACATGTTTGTATATTCAAGCCCGGGTGGCTTAGGCCTGAGTTGCGCTTTCATCGGTGAACGTGATGGTTTTGTTGTGGTAGTATGGTTATCACGGTTAAGACGTTGAATTAGTCTTTGAAAGGCCTGGTCACGGCCGCTTCGAATGGCAGTCTGAGGGGATTTGACGGGCCCATCCGCCGTACTTCGATCGCGAGGAACGGGGCAGCTCGGACTAAAGGACATGTCAACGCTCTTGTCCCTGTGCGATTCGTGCAACTGGGGGAGGGATGGGGCGGAGGATATCGGCTGGCGACAAGTATCAAGCTGGAATACGTCAGGAGTGTGTATATTTTCCGCGCTCTGCGAAGATGCGGTTACTTCGGTATCTGAGCTCGAGCCTCCTTGAGTACTGGTTATATTCCGGGAGACTTTGACATAGCCTTGGCCGCCGGTAAGTGTAGTGGTAGGGGCCGGGTGAATTTCAAGCTCGAAAATACTCATCTGCCGGCCATCTACAGGCTTCAGATCAATCTTTTTGATAATCTTGACAAAGTTGTCGGAAGCTGACGACGACTCGGAAGTATTTTTTTCCAAAATGGAAAAGTCAGAGCTGCTTCGGTCGTCTTGGGATGAGTGTTTGCAGTGCAAAGAGTCAATTTGCGGGTAGAGCTTGCTGATAAATTGATCCGTATGGGGCATCACATTCTCAATGTCTGTGGAGGATCCGGTGTCTTGGCGAGTCCTCCAGTTGGGGTCCTTCATTGCTTTTGGAGTAGTGTCATCAGATTGTGTGCGGTCCTGGCAGATACGCTTGGCTCCGCCGACTGGCTTCATGGAGCCGGGTTTTGTCTTGGTGGTACGCATCGTGCTTGGATTTGCAGTGCTTGAAACGACCATGATGCTGTTCTTTCTGAGCCGTAGGGTGGTAATGAGTTTTGGTTGAGACTCCCGTGGGACGAAAAGGATCTTGGTTTAGGTGTGGATGCTCCTAGAGTATGAGCCTCTTCTTGTTGTTCGCTATTGGGCAGCCTCTGTGCTGCGTTCGCTTGAAGTGATGAATTTGGGTAGAAGGCTGCAAACTGCGCCGCCAGGGATCAAGAAAACGATACGGGCTTGATTCTAGAAATCGCTAAACGGTAGAGTGACGCAGGCTTTGGAAGATGTTTGCACGATGAAATGGTTGCATAAAGCGAAAACTTCCAGGGGCAATCTTGTCTTGTTCGCTTAGGGGAGCTTGCTGCTAAGCCGTGTCGATGATGCAGGTGCGAGGTCGTTGCCACGGCAAGGAAGGAAGGCACGTTATTTGCCTGCAAGATGTGGTCATCAGGACCTCTAATGAGAAAACGATGGCATGTATTCATTCAACGGTCAAAACTGTTTGATATGCTAAATCCGTGGAGAAGAGAGAAATTTCTGGTTAGACGCCTGAATACGATTGACCACCCATAAAGGCAGCGAAGGCGCGCTACGGGAATTAGCAGTGTGAATAGGATGGAGTGGCGAAAGAAGGAAACTTACTCCGTTTCGCGTCTGCATGTAGACGGTACCAGGACCGGTAAATTTACAGACAAGGCCCTCAGCAGAGGCGAAATTGGAAATGATGCCACCAGAGGCAACTCGCTCCAAGATGTACTTTGTGTTCCAAGCGACCAAATGGCCGTTGTCGATGATGTATTTTTCGCCGTCGGCAAGCTACATCAGTCTTGTTAGTCGGTAACACGGGAGGAGGGACACTGGGTGCGGCTCACATCTTTGCGGATAATGGCACCAAAGCTTGATACCCAGAGGATACCGGTGCCGCTCATCTTGTAGACAAAGAGGCCCTCGCCGCTAAACATGGCCTTGCCGAGGCCCTGGCGCTTGTGGTCCTTCTGGACGCCCTGGGTGGAGGCGAGATAGGCGTCGTGGCCGCAGGTCCACTGGGCGGCGCCATCGAGGCGGATGGTGGTGATGTCGCCGAGCATGGGCGGGGCGAGCAGGAGCTCGCCGGGTCCAATGTAGTTGGAGTGGCCGAGCTCGGCGCCGGCAATCATCTTCTTGACGCTAAACTTGAACTCGCCGCGAAGGGTCATGGTGGGGGACATGGCAATCATGGAGCCGGGCTTGGCGCCAAACGGGCAGCCCATGGCCAGCTGGATGGTCAGGATAGTATTGCAGTCACGGTGACTGATGCGGTAGCTGCCTCCGTTGAAAGTGCCGACGTCGTCGCTGGTAGCCACGGCGCCGACAAAGGCCGGGCCGGGGCCAGGGCCGGAGGCACCCGTCTGGCTCGAGAGCTGGCTGACGGGGCGATGACCGGCCGTGGCCGTCTTTTCGGCGGGATATCCTGCGTCCGGGTTGGGATAGGTCGGAGGCGCTGCAAATTGGGGCTGCGGCGGCTGAGACTGTCGCAGCTGGTGGGCGTCTGCCTTTTCGGGTGGGTAGGCGGCGCTGGGGTTGGAAAAGGCAGGCGGGGGCTCGGCGTACTGCTGGGAGTTGTGAGGCGAGTGGTAGGCCTGATTAGTGCCGGGTCTCATGGCGAGGTTGGCATACTGCGGCGGCTGCTGCTGATGATCGTGCGACGGAGGGCTAGCAGGCGGTGGCGGGTAGTGCGGGGACGGCGTTTGCTGCGGCGGAGGGGCATACTGCTTGCTGGGACCGGTCGAGGACGGCGGGGCAGGGTAAAACTGCGGCTGGCCGCTGGGGGTCGCGGACGGAGGCGCAGGATACTGCTTGATGGAGGGCGATGCGCTCGGGGGCGGCGCGTACTGCTGCTGGGCGAGTGGTGACGGGCCGGTGGGTGGTGGTGCGTACTGTGTCGTGGGTGGTGATGTGGGAGGTGCTGGGTAGTGCTGAGTAGGAGGCGAGGCGGTGGTGGGAGGCGGCGAGTAGATGCGCTGGTTATCGGGCGTTTGCTGCGAGGCTTCTATGCGGTGAATATTAGGGAGGAAAGTCGAGGTTAGTCGAGGACAAACGTACGAGCACCACCGGGAGGAGCTGGACGGTGGTTAGCAAAATGACGGCCGGACGAGGCGGGGTAGTGGATGGGGTCTCACGAGGGTAGTAGTTGTGAGGTTGTGCAGACATGTTGATAGAATGCGCAAGACGCACTATTCAGTGTCTGGCGAACAAGACAAAGAAGCGAATGGAGAGGTTGAGAATATCGGCTGTTGAGTCTTGCCGCGTGATTCCCCGCTTCAGAGCTGAGTTGCACAAGGCTGTCCTCGGTTATAGGACAGGGGTTGGGATAGCACAGAGGACGTTTTGAGAGCGATTTTGGAAACAGGCCAGACGGTGAAACGTACGAAGCCGAATTTGAAGAGAGAAGGATGGGAAGTTTTTGCGCAGTCAGGGAAGAAGAAGACAATTGGAGAGGCAAAGCTGCGCACTCAACTCAGCTCCTCAGCAGCATCCGGGGCAAGCTCCCTCCCCGCCAAGGATTGAGCTGGTGAGCTTTAGCCAATGGATGATGGACATGGCCTGGAGGAACAGATTGGCCAATGGTCTGGGGGAGGTTAGCGCCCGCGTGGAGAATGTTCGAGGGTCGGGCGCTTATTGCATTATTAGAGAGCGACGGGAGTAGTCGAGCAGGGTTGTGCAGAGAATTGATCTATTGAATATATCGACGTCATGAAAAAGACAGAAGCGGGGGATGCTGGTGGAAGGGCAAAGGGATTATTGAAAGTGTAAAGTGTCTACTTGGTACGAGCAGCGTGAGGGGCAAGTAAGTGGTGAGGCTTTTGCCAAGAGTCGCACATGGTTCAAGGACAGCCAAGCTCGCGGGTTGTGGACTGATTTTTGCCTTGTGGCAGTGTCTAGAGCATGCAGGGTACTATGAAAGGGGATAAACCAAGCATTTACTCCGTCCTGGACTGCGATCGAAGGTACAGTACATACGCGGTGTGGTTGACAATTAGTAAAGGCCAGTACATACAGACTGGCCAGGGCCTCAAGACGGGCCGCCCCACGAAAACGACTGTGCCGGTCAAGGTCTGACGTAGTGAAACCGTCTCGTCTGCTGCAGATTGTCGATGGCAGGTGGGAAAAGCCTGTTTTGGAAGCATGTTTGGGATCGGCCCATCTGGAGCCTGATGGCTGTGTTCGAGAGGGTCGGCGACCATGCTTGCACGCTAGCCCTGCGACTGACTGGCTGGAGAAGTGAATCGTGTTCGATGCACCATGCCAGGCCGCAGAGGAGCTGCGCGATGGCATTGGCTGGGCTGGGCTGGGCTGTGCCTGTGTGGTGGGTGGATGGTTTGGCAGCCAGGGTAACCGCTGGAATGTTGTCAAGTTGGGCGTGTTTGGATTTGGATGAGATGAATGGATGAATGGAAGCGAGAGGATTGCAGGTCGGCGAGGTGTGGTGTCGTGGCAAGATGTGCACGACAAGGTGGTCAGTGGTATGTATTACTTATTATTAGGTTAGTAGGGGTACATAGTTGGTTAGAGTACAGAGTATTGTAGAACAGACATTAAAAACTGCCGGAATCGCAGTGCGGAATGGGAGGGGCCGTGCCATGGCGGAGGAATAATGAAGATGAGACAATCTTTCTTTTTCGTCGTCTCTAGTTATTCTCGGTACAGATGAGCATCGAGCTAAATTGGTAAATTGGTATTGGCAAATGTAAAATTGGTGCATTGGTACAAATTAGTACAGTACCGTGGTACCAGTAATTTGTACATGACGTGGTATTCTCGATGGCGCTGCAAGTACCCGTCCCGTCCGCTGACGGCGCGGGACGCCGTGCGACGAGGTCCATCGGAAATATGTACAAGAAAAATAAAACCGTCCTGATGCAAAGGCCAGCCGGGCGGGCAAACAACGGATTGATGAAGCGCGCACCAGCGTTTTATGCAAAATACAAAATACAAAATACCAGAGGTGAGCAGGCAGGTCTGAACCCCTGCACGCCACTGACCATGTTATGAACAAAGGCTGCAGCAAAATGGACAAAAAAAACCTCGAGGCTGCTGTGCGCTGGTCCCACGCACCGGGGAGTCGGGGCACCACCAAATTTGGCACAGTGGCAAGTAACGAGGTACCTACCTCCCCTACCTCCATCCTACCTGTACATAGCAAGTGGGCGTCTCCCTGCTGCCTGTTGCCCCGCTCACACCTCCATCTAACTCGTAGCGACTTGGCGACTCTTCTTTATCTTGGTCGTCTGGTCTGTGAGCTGTGATGCCCAGCAGAGGCCTCGTTGCTGACCAACTGCTGCCTCGAAGATTGCCCGGGTGCCAGCCACTTCTCGCACCGTCATCAAAACTGCGCTGCCATGGCCTCAACTTGTACACCACCAGCTAGGATACATAAACCTCCCATCGCCACTGCTTGTCGTCCCCGATCCCCGGTCCGTCACTTGTCTCTCCCGCAGCCTTATTAACTAGCCTCTTCGCTTCGTGCTTCCTCTTCTTCCTCTCTCCTCTTATCTCCCACCGCGTCATCGCCCACGATTCACCAAACATCCTACCACTTCTATCTGCCGTGACGGGAGAAAAAAAAAGAAAAAAAACCTCCAACAGACGAGCCGCCACACTCTGCCAACCCCACGACTTGGCTCCTCCTCTCCTCGGCCCGTCCCAATTCATTCCTACCTGCGCGTGGCCCAACCCATCGGGCTCTGCGCCACGCCACGCGACGATCCCCATTCTCAACCACGCGCGATTGCCTCTACTGAGTGCATATCCGTATTCCGTACAGGCATGGATAAAGGAAAAAGAAAAACTTCAATACGCCCCTCGTCCTTTTATTTCTCCGCGACCTTTTCACTCAACCCTGGCCCTGGGCTGACCCTCCCCCCTGTCCTCTCCGTGGCTTGGCTGTGGATTCTCTCCCTGTCAAGCGCCCCCGCTGCCGCTCTCAGCGGCCACTTACCCACTGAACCACAATCCCGGGTTTGCAAGGCCCCGATTCTCGTCTCCCACGTTTTCTGATCTCGCCCTCTTTTCTTTTCATTGTCCTTTTTTTTCTCTTTTTTTTCCCCTACCTTCTTAACAAAGTAATCACAATTCGCAACACTCTCGCCACATTTTTTTTTCTACCTCTACCAGTCGCCAACAACCTACACATCACCGTCCAACGTCCGACGTCCTGCACGACGACTCCCCAACCGACATCTTCACTCATGCGTTACACAGCCTCAGACTCCATGCATCATCCTGTCCGCTGTCGATAGTAGCAGATTGGGCCTAAGCCCTGGGCGAGGATAACTATGGCGTCTGATCCAGGCGACCACGGCGCCGACATCAAACCGGAAACGGCCAACTCGCCTCGCGACGCCGCACCCACGCATCATGACGAAAATCGGCGTAAGATCGACACCCAAGCATACACCCGTGTCCCGCCGACCGTGGCGCCGCAACCCATTCCCATCGCCTCGGCACGTATACCTGTTGGTGTGCCGCGATCAAGAACCGAGTTGCACCGTCGCCGCAGTCAAATTCTCGATTCGGGGAGCGGGAGCGGACCACCCGGCCGTGGGACGGGCGTACAAAAGTCGACGGCCCGTCCTCCGGAACAGGCAGCTTCCCTGCGAAAACCCGGCAGCTCCGCGGACGGGTACCGGCCTGGCGCCGCCGCCGCTGCGACACGAGAAAGAATGTATCAGATGTTGGCCGCGGCGGCCAGCTCTGAAGACTTGGCTGCCTTGCCGACAATCCCAACCCGACCCAATATAGATGACAAGCAAAATACACCCTTGACGAGAACACGGCCAATAGCGATACCACGCACACGGCGCAATGTGGACGTGGAAATGCTCGAAGCCAGCATGCGGCCTCCGCCTGTGCCGATGGCGACGACGACGACGACGACGACGACGACAGCCCCGGGCAGCGGCGCAAGTAGTGGCGTCCTATCCAGCAGCCTGCCACTCGAGGCGCGAGACGGCCTCGGCGCACCAAGCAGCAGCAGCGGCGGAGGCCTGAAGCGCAGCGCGAGCAACAGTTCCCAGACGACGGTGACAGTTATTGAGTGTCCGATTTTGGAAGTGGACGAGAAGTGCGGCAACAACGACGAGGACCTGTCGTGGCTCGGCAACGATCAGGAGTTGGAGCAGATGATGGCCATGGCGTCATCGCACAGGCGGACCGGCGGCGCGCGGTCCAGCCTCACGTTTCGGCGGTCGCAGGAGGCGGCCATGCAGTGCTCGCAGGTGGTGCGCAATGTGCCGCGCATGCGCAAGCGCAGGGGGCGGAAGTTGGATCATCGCCGACATTCGATGACGCGGTCAGAGAGCACCATTTGTCTGTCGGCTTCTCCGTCGCCGACAGCCACGCCCGTGGGATGAAGTCGAGCCCCAGGTCTATACGTTTTACATGCACGGCATCCATGGTAGGCGCACATGCGAATGCGCCATTGTATATTGCCTTTTTTTTTTGTCCTTTTTTTTTTCGTTTGTCCAACTAGAATGGTTTTGCTTCTCGGCATGGCGGCGTTGTTTCTTCGTTTTACAGGAGAGATGCATACCCAAGGCGGGGAATAGCCGGCCTGATGGAGCCGGGAGGAACAGTCTTTGACTCATTTGTCTGGAGTTTTTTTTTTTTCTCCAACCACGGATGGCCTGGGTAATGATTCAACCAGACTCCACGTTGAGGTTTCTTCTTTCTACGACGGGCGGATTTATTTTTCTCTACTCTTTTCTCTCCTGGATAGACTGTTATTGATTGCGATGTACACGACCAGGGGCGACTGGCGCGGTATATTATTACCATGATACCACGGAACGAATATACATTTCTTCACTTTATTTATCCTGCAGAGTATTTTTAGATGTACCCCGTTTGCTTCATTTGAGGTGATTTATTTCCAACGCGCAGGAAATTGCATGCAGCCTTTTTTCTTTTTTTTCCCGCATGCCCCAGGGACAAGATCTGGTGTCAGACGGGACGCTAGGACACTTTGACCAGGGGGCCAGACGGGACGGGATGCTGGGGTAGGCACAGGCCGCGAGGTGACCCAGCGATTTGGCTGTCGGGTAATTTCCATGCGTCAAGGATGATCAGAAACAAGAAAAGAAAGAAAAGAAAGAAAGAAACGACAATGGTGGTGATTTGGTGTGCTGCTGGGCCACAGGCTTGTTGGGTAAATTAGCCTTCTTTTGGCCTTTGTCTGGGGGATGTACGGATGTACATGCAGGGATAACAGGGGCAATCTTTTTTTTTTTGTGCGCTTGCATACTCGGTAGTTACCGATGTGCCTTGTGCACTGCATCGCATGAGATGAAGATGCGTGCATTAGGGGCGGCTTGGCGATGGTAGCCTCGTCGGCGTTTTTTTTTCTTCGTCTTCTTTTCTTTTCTTTTTTTCCCTCTCCTCGTTTTTCTTTACAACTATAAAAATCTCATCATGGTAAATTCCCTTTAAAGAACTGGAGCCCCCCCGTTTCTTTTATCTATTTTTATATATTTGTTCAAGTCCTTCCGATGCGGGTAGCTGGCTCCTGTTATCCGATAGCGCGCAATGGAAAAACCCGAAGACGTTCGGATGGAATACCCCGAGCCTGGCTGATGGCAACGACTTTGTGGCGATGGCCGGCCTTGCAAGGGCTCCTCTTGATCAACAAAAGTAACTACCTACCTACACAACTCGCTCGGAACTACACCGCTCGCCCCGCCTAGGTTTTGATGGATGGCCGCCTCCGTGGAGCAAGGCTCTCTGCTGATAGCTACAATTACAACGTAGCGTTTCCTCGGCCGCTTCGAGGAGGGGTCTCTAGATGCAGCTCATTGGTGGGTTGATTCCTGCCTGTTTCCGCCAAGCCCCAAGTTGATGGTAGACGTGAGTGATAAATCGTGAAGAGCCCAGTGACAGCAGGCGGAAATAGAGTTTCAACAAGCCCCCTCCATCTTGGGTTTTCCCCCAATGGATCTAGGTCAAGAGCGATGGCTGGGGACTTGACGGCTCGACGGCTTAAAGGGGGGTTGATCAGGTCGAGAAAAAAAAACGGTACGTTGCGGTGCGGCGTGCCGCCGTCTTTTCGTTGAAGATGGGAGGGGTCATGTATCCTCCCCCTCCCCCCCCCTCGTCCATCCGGGCCGACCAATACCACACTTGTTTGAATGGAGGGGGGTAAGAACTGCCAAGCAATTCGTTTTTGGCACCCCAAGTCATGACAAACACGGGGCTGACAGACCCGGGGAGGGGAGGCAGGCAAATCCGAAAAGGAAAAGGGAGGAGGAAGCCAGACGCAGAACGAAACAAGGACAACAACGCTTGAAGTTGGTCACTGGAGCAAAAAAAGACACACACACAGACACGCAACAACACACACACACAACTACGGTTGACTTGGTGATGTTTGGGCAAAATACCAAACGGCCCGCGGGACAACAAGGCCGGGACGTCTCGCAACCGACAAGATGAGACGGCGGGCCAGCCACGGGCCATTGTTACGGTAGGTATGTATGTACATGACGAGCAAACGAGCTGGCGGCACCAAGATTTCAGCCCAAAAACCGCCAAAAGTGGCGTTGAACGAACTGCCTAGGTAGGTGGTAGTTAGGCCGGGATCGAAAAAATTAAAAATAAAGAAAAAATGAACTATTAATATCAAATGTCCGTGCAACAGCCATCGACCGATAGGTACAAACAAAAAAAAGGAAGCAAAAAAAAGGCTCCAGCGGCTGAGATGGAGAGTGGAGCAAAACTCGTCCAGTATCGTGCATGGTTTGATCGCCGCGCCAAAGACGGTTGATCTGACAGGTCTGACCGGATTGTTGCGTTCTGGGCAATTGGCGTGCTTGGGGGCATTGTTGTCGAGATTTGGGGCGGGTATTAACTGTCAAAGTGATACTTGATCAACATTGACTCGTTTCTTTTTCTTCTTTCGCCCGGCCCCAAGCTGCTGGGACGATGAACCGGAACGAACAAGTGACAAGGCTCATCTTGAGTGGGAAACAAATCTATAAGCTGGAATACAGTGGGTTTCCGTCCTTTTGTGGGGGGTTTCATTGGCTTGGCCCTGCTGAAGGTGAAGGTCCGTTGCGGTGGAAGCACGGCCTCTTTTTTGACAAATATGACAGAGCCTGTTTAACCGAGTTGTAGCAGTCGAACCACGGGGCTCTAGTTGACGACGAACCGAGTAATTGAATCCCTTGCTCGCTGTCACTTTTTCTGCTTGGACTCTTTCTCTTCTGGTTTGTGGTCGGTTTGGCCAACGATAAAAGTGCACGGGCAGTTGTGGTCTGGTGACGATGTGGTAAGAGCGAGGAGAAGAGAAGAAGAAAAAAAATACCAATCATATATTACAAACAGAGAGGCGTTTTCTGCATCACAGTCGCACAGGGTTGAATCGCGCTCAACGGTCCTGCCGTTGCCATGTCCACAACCCATGTTGTGCATACCAGTTCGTCAAGGGGGTTTGTCTCGGCTTTATGCCGCAAATCGCCCATTGTTTCCGTAACGAACTAGAACCTGCCAAATGCAAAGGGCGTTTTATTTATTCCATCGAATCAAGTAAAAAAAAAAAAAGGAAAAAGAAAATCGCCATTTTTTATTCACATTTTTATTTCTTCATCCCTTCTGCATCCTTCTGCACATTCTTCGGCAGGCAGGCAGGGCTGTGCTTGTAGCCCGCCATGAACCAATCGGCAATCAGCGCCGTCCCCCCCCAACGTAGCATCATGGCTTTTTTTTTCTCTTCCCCCCCCTCTTCCGATCAGAACCTGCATGGCACCTTTAAAGCAACGCCCCTGTCAAACCTGCAGTAGCCAGGGAAAAAAAGAAAAAAAAATGGGATTACTTTTTGGCCCGGCAATCCCCTTCGCCCCCTCCGGCCGGCTCTGATCGGGCAGACTATACGTGCTCTTTTTTCCCCAGTCTTTAAGATTTCATAGGGACCACTCCTCTTCTACTTTTCTCGTTCGTCTTATCCCCCAACCACCAAAAGGGCTTTATAGTTTTCCTCTTGTTACTACTTTCATCACTTTTTCCCTCTCTTTCTCGTACACTCTTTTTTTTTCCTTTTTCTTTTTTTCCCTTTTTATTTTGGCCCCCCCGCCCTTCCCCACCACCCTTCACAACCACATCGGCAACCACCACCAACTACACAGAAAGTCTAGAGCCCCCCCCTCCCCCCCCGCACCAGAACCAATCAGCGCAACCCAACTGGTTCCCGTCCAGACCCAACACCGTGAGCCTCGTCAGTTGCGTAAAAGAAAGGTCTGGCGATATCGAACAGGGTGTGGAGTCGAGAAACCTGTCGATTCGGCTCTGTTCGAGCCTAGTTAGTCTGTCCATTCCCACTTGTTGCCTCAAAGTGTGGTGTCTCTGATGCCCACCACACACAACCACCACCACCACCACCACCAACCACTTAGTCCTCGGCGGCTGGAATGCCCATCTCCATTTTGCCCGCCCAGAGGCATTCCTCCCACCATTGTCTACCATGGCAAATACATGTACAAGTAGAACATGGTTGTCTCGTAGTAGCGCTCGTATAAATTACCAATTGCCCGTTGCCGTGGGTTACCGTCCAAAGTTGTTCGCTCCAGTCCGCATGTCCCATCACCAAGCCCAAACAGACGGCAACAGCTCTGGTCTGAGCTATTCCGCATCTCACGACTTCCAATGGGGAGACAAAGGGGGGGCCCCGACAGAGCAACTTTGGTATCGACTTTCTCTCGCTGCCCCAGCTACCGCCCGCCCACCCGCCCTGCCCGTCCCTCTGCCCTTCTTCGCTCATCTTGCTCGGCTTCTTCCCCCACAAATACCCGATATACCACCATTTGCCCGCTGCCTCTCTCTCTCTCCTCTCTCTTACTCCTCACCTTCCTCTTTCCTGTTAACAGCCTTTTCTTCATTCACTCTCTGCATGGTCCGCTTCACACCGGAGCCTCTCTTGATCCCATCCACTGCCCATCGCCTACAAGAACCGCTTCCTCCGCTGGACTTATACACCATCCGACCAAAATCCACTTGGGCCAGCAAGAAGCACTGCTTACCTGAATACCATAACAACATACACCGTGCTGTCGCAATTCGCATCGCAGCACCCAACAGTGTCCCCAACCTACACATACACTGTGTGCTTCGCACCCGTACCAACACATCCCGGAGGCCATGGCTCTTTGGACCTCGTCCTACCCGGTCGATGCCGGCGACCGGGACCCCAGCTTCGCCTGGCCCGACACCGACGTCCCCAGCGCCGGCCTCGAAGACTCCCAGCCCGATCTCTTTTCCCAGTTCCTCGACTTTGATGCCGGCCACGGCGGTGCCACCGCCGTCGCCGCCGAGCCCTTTTACCTGGATCCCTCCCAGCACCAACACCACATCCCCCACAACCAGCACGAGAGCAGCACAACCTCGTCGGGCGTCTCCAACGCCGACGACTTTGACTTCTTGTCCTCCAACCCTGCCGGCTACGACGTCGACACCAGCGCGCTCGCCATGTTTGCGCAGGATCCCGCCGCCAGCGCCATGTACACGAGCAGCGGCATGACCGTCTCCGACACGGCGCTCGAGCGGCTGGAGGGTATTTCCCTGCACTCCCCTAAAAAGGATGGTGCCGCGACTCTACGCCGTGCCGTCTCGCCAGCGCCAGAGCACAACATGGCCGCCGTCGCGACAGCCACCACCGGTCGCCGGAGCAAAAAGATGATGGAAGCCCTGTCGTCGACGCTCCGCAAGGCTACCATGCGCAAGACGCGCAAGGTCAGCCAGGCCATGCAGCGCGCCGTCTCCCCGAGCCTGGAGAACCCGCCCATGGCTATCAAGCCCGGCAGCGCTCAGGTGCCGCCGCGCGGTCGCCGCGCCCACCGCGCACACACCCAGCACGCGCTGCACCTGCAACAGCAGCAGCAGCAGCAGCAGCCATTCCCCGAATCACCCCCGCCGCTGCAGGTGGACACTGGCCTCGCCAACGGTGCCTTTGTATCGGGCCAGTTTGACGACCCGTTTGGCGGGGAAATTTCGCCGAGACACGCGCCGCCGCCGCAGCAGCCGCCGCAGATGCGGTACTATAGCCAAGGCGGCCTCGGCACGCCAATGGACTCGCCCACGCGCAATGCGGCCATGCTTCAACAACAGCAGCAGGGTATTCACCACTGGCAGCAGCAGCAGCAGCACGGGGCGCACTGGTCGGCGGCCAGCAGCCAGCAGGATCTCTGGTGGGGCGGCGCCGGCGGACCCGGGGGGATTGACGCCAAGAACATAGACGCCAACATGGCCATGCACTCGCAGCACGGGGAGCTGCCGTACGACGTGCGCGGTGATGGCGGGCACGCCATGGCCGCGGCGCACAACAACGGCCTGATGATTCACATGCCGCAGCCGCGCGCCGGCACGGGGGTCAACGAGCTGGTCCTCAACGCGCACACCTATCTCCCGCCACCACCACCACCCCAAGTCCCTACGGAAGTTAGCCGCTCCGCGCGACCGCCCAAGGCGCCGTCCTCGGGCGCGCGGCACCACCACCAGCGCACCATGTCGTCGAGCCCGATGCGCAAGCAGCGCGCGCCATCGGCCTCGCCATCGCCCGGCACCACGACGCGTCAATCGCGGCACAGCTCCGGCGCGTCGGCGGCATCCTCGGCGCAGCGCAGCGCCTCGGGCCGGGTCAGCGTGCCGGGCACGCCAAGCGGTATCAAGAAGCGCCGGTCGCGCGATGCCGGTAGCGGGAGTTTCTCCGCGGATGACGGCGGCGGTGGTGGGATTTCGTTGGGCGGCGGCGGCGGCGGCGGAGGCGGGTTTGTTAATTTCACGCCGAATGACGGCTCGGTGCTCATGACGGGCGTCGCGCCGAGCGGCAGCTCCAAGACCAAGGCGAGGCGCGAAAAAGAGGCCATGGAGCGGCGGAGACGGCTCAGCGAGGCGGCGATGAAGGCGGTGGCGGCGGCCGGGGGGGATATCGAGAAGCTCAAGGAGCAAGGCTTTGAGCTTTGAAGGAAGCCCGTCGAGGAACAGCCGCCCGCTGCCTTGAGCGAACCCAGATCTGTGTCATGGCTGACATGACTTTTTTGTTTTGGGATTTTCACGAGTGCAAAATTTGTACTTGACCAAGGGAGAAAAAAAATAGAGTTTGGCGCATTGACGTCGAGTGTCTTTGATTGCCTGACGTCACTGCAAACACAGACAGAACGAGCAGGCCTGAGCGCAACGACTTTTTCCAACGGGAACAACAACAACAAGCATTATTATATCCACTTTCGACGTCGCTTCCTCTCTTCACTTCTCGCCAATCCTTTCCTGAGCGCATGCAAGCCTCATTTTATTTTTCGCAGGTGGCATCGTGCCACGTTCATTGTACAACAAGCCAGAACAACAAGCGAACACCCAATCGTTTTCTTTTTCCTTTTTTTCGGGAATTTCCTTCTTTAACAGTCCTTCTTTCTCTTTCTTGTTTCTTGCTGTTGTGAGAGAATTTTTCCTTGTTTTTATAATTATTATTATCGCGGTAGTAGACGAATCGAATAGGGGCAAAGACTTTACACTGGGATTAAATCCTTGTATGATATGGGGCGGATCGTAGGGGCTAGATCTGGAACAGGCAGAAGTTGAGATGAATAACTACAGCAGAGGATGTGAATCGGGTAGGACGGGTACAGGCAATAGTTGGCGCAGGGAAACTCGAAAGTTGTATGTGTTTCTTTTGGTTGTTTACTTAATATTTGAAATGCAGATGATATTCTCCAACTCATGGTTGTCCTTCGTGAATCGACTTTGGGCGATTTTTTCTTATTTTTTTGCAAGAAAGTTCTAACATTTCGTGGGTATTTTAATTTTGCACCGCCTGAGTGCTTACCAGTGCTTGAGGACTATTACGAATGCCAATAAGTACGCCATTTCCAAGGTGTTCCGACCTCCCAGCATTAGCTACAACACTTGTACCGCCACTGTGGCGGCGCTGACAGAGGCATCTGAGGTACCGCTGCGTGAAGATTTGCAAATCCTACTTAAACCAGTCACAAAAAAAGACAGAATTAACATGAACAAATTTAATTGTCCATTGTCCGTTATTTACATTGTTGTATACGAATGCGACTGGTGAGCCTCTCTGATCCCGCGGGTGCCATGTACCTCCCGCGATAAGCCTTATCGGCTCCAGACCCAGAAAAATTTCTGCCAAAGTTGTTGGTTTATTGAACCTCGAGGAAACCCAGCCGACATTGTTTTTTTCGAGACCATTACAGCCTCTTTAAAGATTACCTGCGCCATATTCATCTCCGCGCTGGCCCCATGTCTTCCGACGAAAAGGAAATGTCCCCCGTGGACGTTGCGCCCGACGCGAAAGCCTCCAAGCGCAAGGCCGACGTCGAGGAGATCGAGGTTGATATTACCGCCCCGGAACCGCCATCGAAGCGCGCGCGCCGTGCCCTGAAGAAGGGCAAACCCGCGACCTCGAAAGCGAAAAAAGACAACGACAACGACGACCTCGAAGACGACGAGTCGGCAGACAAGGACAAGAAGGACGACAAGGCGGCCCGCTCCGAGCACGGCGTCTGGATCGGCAACCTGCGCTTCACCGTGACGCCCAAGGAGCTGCGCCAGTGGCTCATTGACAACTCCGGCGGCGCCCTCACCACCGAGATGATTACCCGGCTCAAGCTGCCCCTGTCCAAGCCGCCCGGCAAGCCCGGCAAGCGCGACAAGACGGCCGACCAGCCGCCGCCCGCGAACAAGGGCTTTGCGTACGTGGACTTTGTCGACGTGGCGGCCAAGGTGGCTGCCATTGCGCTGTCTGAGACGGAGTGGCACGGGCGCCGGCTGCTGATCAAGGACTCGACCTCGTTTGAGGGCCGGCCGAAGAAGGAGCCAGGCGAGCCCGAGGGCAAGGACGGCAAGCCCGTCGTGGACCCTAATGCGAGCCGTAAAATCTTTGTTGGTAACATGAGCTTCAAGACCACCGAGGAGGACGTGCGCCGCAACTTTGACAAGTGCGGCGAGATTGAGTGGGCCAAGGTGGCCACCTTTGAGGACACGGGCAAGTGCAAGGGCTACGGCTGGGTCAAGTTCAAGGAGCCCGAGGCCGCGGCCTGGGCGGTCAAGGGCTTCGTCAAGATCAAGGAGGCGGTCGAGACCGAGGACGATTTCCGCGACGCCAGCGACGCCAGCGACGACGAGGGCGAGGGCGAGGAGGACCAGAAGAAGACGAAGAAGAGCCAGCCGCAGAAGCAGTTTAGGACCCGCAAGTGGTACGTGAACCGCATGCTCGGCCGCGAGCTCAAGCTCGAGCTGGCCGAAGACGACCAGTCCCGCTACAAGAAGCGCTTCGGCAAGGACAGGCCGGCGGCGGCGGCGGCGGACCGAGGCGCACCGCGTGAGGGCGGCGAGAGGAGAGAGCATAGGCATAAAAAGGCTGACGGCGCGGCGGATATCCAGGAGGCGCGCTTGACGGGTAGAGTGGTTGAGCATACGGGTAGCAAGGTTACGTTTGATTAGCAATGTCGAGGAATATCGGGGTTCGGGACGTTTAATGATCATTTAGCGGTTTTACAAGGAATAGAATTAGCATATGAACAGAGTCACTGTTGCGATTCTCTGGCTTTCATCCTCTGGACCGAAGCCACCCCGCACCGACTGTCCACGTAGTTAATTGTGTAGCCTTGACCGTTTCCATGGATTCTTGATTGAACCCTGACATGGATGAGGCGAGACGGGTGGTGGCGGATGGGGAGATGGGCCTGCGGCTGGTCAGGGACCGGATGAGGGCCACGAGCAGGACGTGGATGCGGTGCCGGTCGTCACGGGTGGAGGGCAGGAGAAGGGATATCATGCTGACGGGGGCCAGGAGGGGTAGACTACGTCAAGGCCCTCGAGACGGTCATCAAGGAGTGTTCGTTAGGGTCACTACTGGTAAATAAGTGATATCATGTATTCAAAGAAAAATATTGTAGGCTGAAGAGACGTTTAAAAAGAACTATACAGGTAAATGACAGGAATGTGGTGCATTCGAAAGAAGATGGAAAGGAAAGGAATGTGGAGCCTTTGAAAGAAGATGAAAAGAAAGGCAAGAATACAAAGCCAAGGCCGTTAGTCGTAATACATGGATCGTTTCCATTACATGTACTCATTGGGAGCATCTCCGTGCTGTTGTTGCCTCGCTCCTCTCACCCCCGGCTAAACATGAGCGGCACCATGGCTGTCTGGCTGCCCATGGCCCGTCTGTCTTGCAGCACAAAGTTGCTGTTGCCCGTGTAGAAGCTCCCAGCTCCGGCCATCAGGTCAGGACCGGCCATGAGGCGACACGCCGCGACGGCGCTATTGTTACTAGCGCTGCCATGACCGTGGCCATACACACTGCTGCCGCCGCTCGTCCTGTGGCGTTTGGAAAACTCGCGCGTCAGCTTGGTCATGACGGCGTCCTTGGCGCGCTGCAGGGCGCTCACGCGCGCCGACGCGTCCTCGGCGAGCAGTCGATGTGCCTCTTCCTGCTCGAGGTTGCGCTGCACGGCGGTGATGCCGTCGTCGCCCGCCCTGCCCGCCGCGCGGGGGTCGTACACGGTGGGCTGCAGGAGGACCGGCTGCGGGTCCGTGGCGAGAATGGGTCGCGAGATGCACGCGTCGGGGACCGGGGATGTGCGCAGCGTCTCGAGGGACGGCTTGTCCTGCGAGGACGAGGAGTGCGATGGGCGGCGCCGGCGCAGGAGCGAGGACAGCGAGGACGAGGACAGCTGCGAGGAGGACGAGTGGGAGCGGGGCAGCGACGGAGGGGAGGGAGGAGGGGACTTGTGGTCGGGCTCGCTGGCGCTGCGATTGTGCTTGCGCTGGCTACGGTGGTGCTCGTCGTGGCGGGCGTGGTGCTGCTTGTTGGAGCGCTTCTTCTTCCTGATCCTGGTGGTGAAGCCGCTAGCCATATCCTCCGCAAGCTCCTCCATGGCCGTCGTCTCCTCATCGTCGAAGCCGTACGCGCCGACATCGAGCCCGAGCAGCTCCCTGCCGACGGCTTCCACGGCGGCGCTCGGGCTGGGCAGGTCGTCGGAGCTCTCGCTCATGACCAGGCTGTGGCGGCGCGAGGCGGCAGCGAGGCCGCTCCGGGACCACTTGCGGTCCTCGCTGACGGGCGCGAGGGCGTCGTCCCAGCGGCCGCCGTCGGCGAGCGAGACGTTTTCAAAGTCAAACTCCCTGACGGTGTCCTGGTGGGCAGCGATGAAGCGGCGCAGCTGCGGCGCGTTCATGGCCGTGTTGCGGATCTGCAGGTACCGCAGCACGGGCAGGTGCATGGGCGCGCGCGACGGGCGCACCGGCAGCGGCGACATGGGCGACGTCACCTCGTGGAAGAGCTTCTGGGCGGCGCGCGGCGGCGCAAACAGCGGATCGGCGGACAGCGCCATCGGACACGGGCCCGGGCCGCCGGCGCCGACCCAGGCAAAGGCGAGCTTCTCGAGGCGCGGGGCGAGCGCGCGGATGTAGTCGTCGATGATCTTGAGGTGGTCCAGCCCCGGGGAGGCGGCGCTGGCAAAGTCCCAGGCCTCGACCGACAGGCGCAGCTTGCGGATCTGGGCCCAGCGGCGGGCGGCCGAGGGCACGCTGCCGATGGCGTGGACGGGGCGCAGGTAGGCGAGGGCGGCGGGGTGCAGCGACGAGAGGGAGAGCTTGTGCAGGGCCGTGAGCGGCGCGCGCTCGACGGCGATGCGCAGGCTGATGAGGGCGTAGTCGACGACGTCGCGGCGGTAGCGCTCGGCCGGGTGCTGGCCGGGGCAGCGCACCGTCAGGTGGCGCACGCCGGCGACGCGCGACAGCGCCTGGATGAAGCTCGGCACGTTGGTGGCGGCGTGGAACAGCGGCGGGTACTGCTGCGTCAGGATGTCGCCGAGCTCCGCGGTCGCGTACTTGGGCCGCGTGAGCGCCGCGTGCGTGCTCGTGTGCGGCGTGTACAGGAAGCTGATCTCGCGGCCCGTCTGCGGGTGCACGAGCGGCGGCAGAAACGTCGCCGGCGAGTGCGGCAGGTAAAACGTGAGGTGCTCGACGTGGTGCCCTACCCGGCCGAGGGCGGCCACCCGGCTCGGCTTGGTAAAGGTGCTGGCGGTAAAGGTGACGTGCAGACGGGTAAAGAGCCGCTTGGTGACGAGGTTGCAGCAGGCGGACGAGGAGCCGCGCAGGGCGCAGAGGTCGCTGGTGCCGAGGTGCGCGAGGAGCTGGTCCTTGATGCGGTCGCTTCTCAAGAGGCCGAGGAATTGCTGTTCTGTGGACGCCATATCTGTCTCATTGGGCGGGGTTGCGCAGGATGATGGGGTGATTGAAGCTTGATGTTGGCAAGGAGGAACGAGTCGTTTGATAGTGGCCTCGGTGAGGGTGCTGTTGGTATGGTGAGAATCGTTGTTCTGTCAAGTGAGAGCAAGTTGGTATAAGTCGAGCCAGGATGCTGGATACAATGCTCTTACTTGGCCAAACTGCTGTAGCAACGAAAATTGAATAACAAGGAGACAAGGCCACTTGGAATGGGAAGCACGGTATATATCCCGACCACGACCCCTCTCGATTGATTTTTCATAGCTCTTCCCATTTCCGCCGCGGCGCAGAGCATCTCGTCCTCCACCGACCTGCATAAGACGTGCGTTCAGCCACCCAACCTCAAACGGTATGCTTGTTCTGCAGTTCCCGCGAAAACGAAACGAAACAACTGGATCTCGACCGGCGTAGGGCGACAGGGGACCCCCGGGGAAGACGGAAGACGCAGAGCGCGCGTGAGGTTCGCGCACCGACTGGCTTAGAATATCGCTGCCTGGACCGAATGCAGCATCGTCCCCGCAGCGACTGGACTTGAATGGTCGGTGAGGGAAGCGAAAGAACCTTGCCGTGCCCCGTAGCTTGGTAGGCTTGCTTGGCCCGGTGTAAGTGGCCTACATTCCAATCAGCCCTGCGGAACAATGGAGCCGGTTGCGCGATTCTTTGCGCCACCTTGCCATCCAACTGGATGTTGTCTCAATGTGGTATTTTCGCGGCCGTGTAGGTTGTGGCGTCAAAACCGTGATGCAGAGGCGTGGACTTCGCGTCGCTGGCCAATCAGAGGCGCGCATCGCGACGCGGGGCCGAGAACTGGGTCGCGTGTCAGATCGCGGATCGCGCCGCGACGCCATGTGTACGACCTTGCACAACTTCCCCTCTCCTTTTTTTTGGAGTCATTATTGAGAAAAAGGTAGCGCGAGAGAAGGGGGGGAAACGGCAGTTGAGTTGTCCTCCACGCCGACGACAACCCACCTTGGCCACAACGCCGTCGCGATATCCAATGAGCCCGTCGTGGCGCGAGGCATAGTGAGAAGGACCTATGCACCTCCTCGTTTTTCGTCACATCTGCTTTCTGCGGTGTTCAGGACCAGCGATTGGTCTCTCGTATTTCATCTTTGGCCGTGTCACATTCTATGCCAAAGATTTCTGGTCCGCAGGAGGTCTGGCAGAAAAGTCGTCGCAAAACTGCATAGCCGTAGTCCATCGTGGCGTTGTCGCGAAACCGGCGTTGGAGAAGAAGCCCTATACTAGAGAAGCATAATGCGCTCGCAGCTCATTGATACGCTCGTGTTCAAGCAACCCCATACAAGATGTCCGAATTAATGCGATGCGACGCAGCGAGGCCGAGGGCTTTATATACCTTGGCCATGGATGCATCAGTGCCCAATCTTGGACCACATGAGCTCAACACAGCCTGCTCACCTCACCGCATTCATGTACCACTTCTACGGAAAACGCGGCTGTGTTGACCACCAGTGCTTGTCACATGGTTTGCTGCTCGGCCCGGTGCGCAAGGCTCCGTACAAAGAATGACGCGGAGGCTGGATGACGACTCGCGCAACGTGCTTGTGGCGCTCTGCATCCTGGCAAAACACCTGCAACATGCGAGTAATCCATTCATAATCCAAGAAGAGAAACGTAGCCAATTGTATACGGTAAATGCTCTGGGTATCGTAATCATATTCCTATATAACAATGCCTCCTCAATGCCCCGTCTACACGCCACGCAAAAAATGGTCATTATAATCACCATCGCCACCTTGTCGAGCATACTCATCGCCGTCCCCGCCCTCGTCCACTGCCGCCTCCGCCTCCGCCTCCACGACTGCCCCGACCACGTGTGGGACCACCCCGTCCACGGCCGCCACCACGGCCTCTAGATGGCGGCGGTGGAGGCGGCGGGAGCCCGCGGTTGTTCCGCGACGCTGGCGGCTTGGCGGGCAGTGAAGGCGGCGGTCCACGCGGGTTTCTACTGTAGCTCGACGTGCCTGGAGGCGGAGGTTGGCGTGGCGGGTTGTGTCTCGGTGGAGGGGGTGGTATAGGAGGAGGAGGTCCCGGTGGAAGCGGCGGCTGGACCATGTGGCCTCCGAGCGTAGCAGGCATCTGGATGTTGGTCGACATTTGCATGCGGCCCAGCGGTAGCCGTCCCTGTCGCGGTGCGGCCCGGTGGCTGAGCAGGTCCGCATCAGAGTCGTCGCTCTCGGAGTAGTGCACATTTAGCGTGCGCGAGGAAGGTCCGCGTGCCGTCTTCGCTTGTTGTCGGCCCGTTTTGGGTTTCGCACCAGGGTGCAGACTGGCGGCCTCTTCAATGGACTCGTTGCCGCAGTTGGCATCTACATAGATGTCTCGGTTTCGAAGTGTCCACGATGGATTAAAAGGCCGATCGCCCCTTTGGGAGCAGTCCGATGCAAAGTGGTTTCGCGAACCACATACAGCGCAAGACGCCTGAATAGCAATGACTCGCAGCACGGTGTCTCCCTCGGCGTGGAATGATCGCCAAGGCTCTGTACACTCACCTTCAAGATGATGCTCCATCGAGCAGTAGGCACAGGCCAGGCCCTCGTCCTTTGTGAGGGCCAGCTTCTCCACGCAGGACGAAGTGTCGTGGCCAAGTTGTCGGCATTTCCCGCATCTGGCTGGTATGGCTTTGCAGCTAAATGCCCAGTGGCCGGTTTCTCCGCAGAACTTACATTTCGTGTGGCTGCAGGCGTCAGCGACGTGGCCTTTGCCGCCACACAGAACGCACATGTGAACACCAATTTCCGCAGAAGGAAAATATCGACGCTGTTCCGCTGTCTGTTCTGCTGTGGGTAATGGTATACCATTCTTGGTTATAGCAGCACCATTTGTCTGACCGTTGGCAAGCTGGCCGCTTTCCTGCACAATAGAGTCACTCGGATCGTATTCCGGTGAGTTGACAACCTCGCCATCTTGCACCCCGCCTGCCCGTTGAACAGGCGTAGGGAGTGGCGGCTTGGCACCGGCAATGATGACGGAAATCTTGCCTGACTCCTCCATGGCGCGGACAGTCTGCTTCGCCGTCCTCTTTTTCGCTGGTTTCAAGCCGCTGTAAACGTCAATGTATTGACCAAAGGCCGATACAACCGTCGGCGGCTTGATCTCGGCCACGTGATCAAAGTTGATTGTGCACAAAACATTGGTCCAGTCCGAGACGCGCTCCACCCACGAGCCTTCCTTTTTCCTTGAGAGCGCTGGCAGCCTCAGAGTGACGGCATCGGTTTCGAAGAGTGGCGGGTCCGAAGGAACAAACGACTTGGCGATCAGCTGGCTGTCTGAATGCCCAGATTGGCTGCCGACGGACTTTGAAAAGCTCTCTTCTATTTCGCCCTCCTCGGACGCCTTGCTTGCGTTGCTGCTAAGCGATGGACGGCTGAATTTGGCGCGCTTGAAAGGGTGAGAGGGCTGGTTCTCCTCGCCGTTGTCACCATCAACATCAGCTAATGATCGCTTTTCGACGTGGCTGATATCTGCTTCACTGTCGCTTCCCCCGATGCTAATAACATCGCCGGGTATTTGTTCTTCCGCGGCCATGGTGAATGTGATGCTGCAGGTTGGCGTAACTCATGTGACAACTTATCCAATTTGCGCTTCACGTGAAATAACAGTGTGTGAGGTCAATGCTCAGCTGCTTTTCCATTCGGTTCGATACTCGGTGTCATGGGCAGCAAGACCCAGAATCGGTGGTAAAATACTGCTGTAAACAGCAAAGCAGCAGTCTTTGAATTGAGACGACTGAGGCTTGTTTCACAGGAAAAGTCGACACGAAAAAAGCATCGTCGAATCAGCGCAAATGTTGAAGGCCCCACTGCAGGTGCCTTTGGTTGTGTGGCTAAGATCTACCTAGCAGCGGGTCCAGGTTAACCCGTGCCGGCCGGCAATGTGTGCATGCCCCGAACTGTGGCTTGCATTTCAGTGTTCGTGTTCGTAGAGAAGACTGTGGAACTTCTAGAACACTCGTCGGCAGCCAGTCTTAATCGTATTCTAGTGTATGTAATTACGATGTATTTTACGAGTGATGGGTACGATGGGGTACACAATATGTCCGATCGATGTTTGGCTCGCCTGTGATCATGGCCAAGAAGTAGGCTGTTCAATGCTGAATGCGCTGATGAGCAAGGAGTTTGATGCCGTTGTGGGTGGCCATTACGTCTGGGACGACCAAGTCGTCTCAACATTTACGAATAACTACGGATATGAATTATAGTAGCCGTACTGGTACGGAGTACATATGTTCCACCTTGGTTGGCTGTGCAGGGGGTTGACTGGAGCTGGCAATTTAACCAAGTTTCCAACGAGGGGCCAACAAACGGGGGAGACCGTACGAATCAGTGTTCAGTCAAAGCCGTTTGAAGAAAATAAAATCTGTTCATCTGGTGCTTTTTCTTTGCTACTCTAAATACGGATTTGTGACACTTTTCTGTTCATCGGGCAAGCCATAATTCCATTCTAATATCCAATGCCTCACGGGTAGGTACATAGAAGGGCTAGTGCGGGCTCACAGGCTCGACGGAGTCATCCGTTGCTGGCCTCAGCGGCCAAGGATCTGCGAAGCATACAACGACAAGCTTTCTGGCCCCCTCCTAACATTATTAGGTCTCGTGCTAGCCTCATCATGGTGTGGACAAACGCATGTGTGTTGTGCGTGTTGGTGCAGGAGGGGAGGAGGCGCAGCGAGTGTAGAGTGCCTCGGGTAGCAAGATTATCGAAATCTATCTGCCGGAAGGATCTCGTAATTTTCCTCGTAATTTCTTGTACTTGTAGATGGCATTGTTATCTGGCTTGTGATTGTCTTCAACGTGGCCTCTGGTGGTGGTGCTTCAGGCCACTTGGCCCCTAATAATACAGGTAAATAACGAATCTCAAACCAGAGTCCAACGACTTGCGGCCAGTCATCTGCAGCTGGTTACAGCGCAAACACCACTAACAGACCGCTGCAACAGACCGCTGCAAAACATTGGCGCCGCGATCCCTTGAGGCTCATGGCCCCTAGTTCAGTGGCAGTGGCGGCCCCTCTCTCATCAATTGAATTTCTCTTCTTTTGTCCTGCAATAATAGTATCATTATTGTTATTGCGAACCCTTGTCATCCATTACCACCATTTCCATTACTGAAAACTAACTACAAGTTCGGTGCCTTCACACGACCGACTCCCTGCGCTAGCCAGCAAGCGCCAGTCCCTGCTGCCTCCGACTGGCTGCCCGCCCACTGCTGCCCCATACAGCTTGTTTCCTGTCACAAGGCCGCCTCGCCACACGCAAGCCCTCCTCTTGCCTCAACATTGATCGTTGCTTTTCATTCGTTGCCCTCCTCCATTTTCTCTTCTTACCAAGACTTTTTTTCATCCCCATCAACATCATCCCAGGGCATACTTGTTTCGATTAGGCGCACACGCTGCATCACGCTCGCCCTCCCGACAAGACCGAATTCTACGAATTCTACCATCCGACCCCAGAACACTCGACAAAAGAGTTCTGCCCCAGTGGACAATTGTCCTGTCCTCGCACCGACATCACCAGAGAAGTCTGAACTGTCGTGTGCCCTTGAGTCTCTTGCCAGTCTTACTACGTCACTCGAAATTGTCGTTCGCTACCCATCCTCTCGCCTCCATACTCCCGACTCTTCCGAGATCACTTTGTCGTCGCACGCCAGCAACGGCCTACGATATCCTCATTTGCGATTTGCGCAGTACCCCGCTCAATACCGCCAAGCTGGCTTCCCCTACTCTTCTTCAGCCCACCGTGTCATACGCCGCTAGGACAAATCCCCCACGCTCTGGAAGCGCCTACCTCGACATGGACGATAAGAACACGGGCCGTCGCAGACGCTCCAGCAGCATCCTCCAGGTCTATCACGAGCCCCCGGAAACGCTCGAGCAAATTTCTGACCAGGCTTCTCTTCCCAATCTGAATGCAAACTGGACCAACGCAAAGGGTACGCCAATCTTACTCCCTAACCCCTCGTGTTCTGTTGTTCCTGGCCTATTCTAACGTGCCTCTGCAGGAGCGTGGACCATTCATTTCGTTTTGATAGCATGCCTCAAGATATTTTACGACGTCATTCCCGGGGTCTCGCAGGAAACATCGTGGACCCTAACCAACATTACATACATGGTCGGCTCCTACATCATGTTCCACTATGTTCGAGGAGTACCCTTCGAGTTCAATAGTGGTGCCTTCGATAACCTCAACATGTGGGAGCAAATCGACAACGGTGCCCAGTACACGCCCACCAAGAAGTTTCTACTCAGTGTTCCGATTGTGCTCTTTCTCCTGAGCACCCATTATACTCACTATGACCTCGCCTACTTCATTATCAATTTCTTGGCCGTATTGGCCGTCATTATCCCCAAGCTTCCTTTCGTAAGTGTCCTTTGCCGTATCGCACGTTGTACCGTCTACTACGCTGTACAGGTAGTCAATGCAGCGCCTCCTGGTCTGGCTCAGAATCTTCGGCAGTGCTGACAGCTAACATATTTGCAGAGCCATCGCATGCGCTTTGGCCTCTTCTCGGGTCTCCCCGAGGACGAGTAAACGATCGATAACGGTGTCAAGGGCCATTAGAGGCAGTGTGTCAAAAATTGTAATTCAAGTTTGTTCGGCTGGCAGAAATCCGTGGTTATGGGACACGGGGAGTTGAGAGAGTGGCATTTACATATAGCGAGCATTATCCTTTTTGTGGCTTTTATTCCCCACTAGAAGAATTTTCCCATCTATCATGCTTTGATTCTCGTCTGTGTTTTGTTGTTGGCGTCCCGTGGCTGGAGATGGCGCGAAAGCTTGTCGAACAATAGCATGGGGCTGGGGAAGGTGAGAGTCGACGCGTATTCAATTTTACGCAACCTGGTTGGTCATCACGCGAGGATTTAACGTTCCAGCTTGCGCTAACGAGACAGAATGTCGCGCCTAGCAGGCGCTATCGAGCCGCGGACCAACATCACCTCGTCATACAAACGAGGTTGGCCAGTGGTTGTTGGCCCCAACCACCAAACTCAATCCACGTATGGCAGTCTGTTGGCCGGGAGGCTGGTATTTGTGGCTGGCCAACTCGTCGTATGGCCTGCGAAGCTCGAAAATATCCCGCAAAGGCGGAGACTTGGGGAGGCTAAGGTGGTGATGGTGTCTAGATGCAATGTCTGCGGAACTCTGTTTTGCGGGGTTTTTCTTGGGCTCTGGCGTCTGTACGTCGGAATGTACTGGTCATGAGGCTCTATATAAAGTAGGAAAACCTCCTTGAAACCCTCGTTTGTTTCCTTCAGCTCCAACCACACTCGTTGTCCTTGTCATTCTAGCCTTTCCCTGCACATCATTTCCCCGTATACCCTTTCCTCCACCAGCAATCATCAAGATGCGTTTCACGAGCACTGCTGCTGTCCTGGCCCTGGCCACCCTGGCCACCGCCGCTCCCGAGCACTCGCACCACACGACGACGTCGTGCACCGCTCACCACCACACGCGCCCTCACCCCTCGGTCTTGACGGCTCACCACGAGCACTCGACTTCTTGCACGTTGACCAAGAGCAAGCACCACCACCACCACTCGAGCTCGACCTGCACCTCGTCGCACAAGAGCAAGCACACGGGCGGCAGCATGTCGGCTCACCACCACCACCACCACTCGACCACGACTCCTTGCACCAAGGAGAAGCACCACCACCACCACCACTCGACCACCTCTTGCCCCCATGGTAAGCCCACCACTCCTTGCCCCTCTGGCAAGCCCACCTCTGGCAAGCCGTTCCACCACAAGCACACCAGTGCCATGGAGCCTCACCACCCGCACTACAGCCAGAGCCGTGACGACCATCCGGCGAAGCCCTCGCCCACCTGGGGCAACTCGGGCAGCGGCATGGGCGGCTACAACGGCAACAACAACGGCAACAACAACAATGACAACAACAACAACAACGCCAACAACAACAATGCCAACAACAACAATGCCAACAACAACAACAACTACAACAAGGGCGAAATGCCCGGCAAGCCTACCCCCGCCGTCGTCAAGACTGGCGCGGGCGCCAAGGTCGGCCCCCAGGCTGCCGCCGCCCTCGTTGGCGCTGCTGCCCTCTTCGCCGCCCTGTAAGTGGTTTTCATTGACCCTTTTACGGTGAAGAAACCACAACAGAGATGTGCGGTTTCCGGCGTGGTCAAGATTTTAAAAAGCTTTTGGGTATCCGACTTGGGGGGAGGGGGGGAAATGTGGTAATGATGGAGTGAAAACGTAATGTCTCTTGTTTTGTTGGTATGCCCCCTGTCAAGATAGGAATACGATTGGTTCTTGACAGAAAAAAAAAAGGAGGGAGGAAAATATGTCTAGAAAGAGGTGGTATTTGGTAATAGTAATTATTAGTAGTATTTTAAATGCCATTTTCTTCTTGACTGCATGTTGGTACCTCTTGAGAAGGTCAATGCACCGTGGTGTAAAGTCGTATACCTCGTCTCTCTTTTGAAAAGTGCCGTGGTGATGGCTTGCATCCAAGCAGTGCAAAGTAATGTGCAGTACCTTGACGCTACTGCCAAGTATATCAAGTAAAAGCCCTCGTCTAAAAAGCTAGCCCAATCGACGTTTTCGGCTCGGTGGACATGGGGGCGTCGAACATGCCTACCCTGCACTTGGGTTCACCGACGACTTTTCGACATGAGCAAGACCATGTGGGCAGTTGCTAGCGCGCTCCTTTTGCCATGCAAGTCACATGACGAAAGTACATGCGACGACAAGGACTTGTAAAGCGAGGCTGAGATGAAAGCCGGGGAAAGTGGCTGGGAAGCAGGGTGTGACGCGGGCGCATCGAGATGAGATGGTGCACGATTGGGGATAACTGCTGCAGATGCGGGAGCAGGGGTCAGTGCATGAGTGTGGTGGCACAAGGCTCGGACACAGGACTTCAATGTATATATTTTTATTATTATGTATAGAAACTCGCGCAGTAAAATGACCAAGTCATGAGCTAGTGGGATATCATAGCTTCTTGTACACAAAAAGGCGTATAAGCATAAACACTCCAAAAACCAGCCGGAGAGAGACGGGCATTACATCATCAAGAAGAGAAAATTAAAATTAGCGAACCATTACCCATGTCGACGTCTCATCCAGCACTGCGTAGGGGCCAGTCGCCAGTTCGCTTCCTCCCTTTCGTAGTAGAGTCAAGCGACGACGGGCGACCGCGCAGCATGTTTTTAACGGCGCTGCCAAAACTTCTTCTTGGGGACAGTCGAGTCGGCAAAGCCAGCCTCCTGCTTGTTGACGACGTCGCGGGGCTTGTTCTTGCTGCGCTTGCTGGCGCAGCAGCTGAGCAGGACGATGATGGTGGCGAAGAAGGAGGTGACGAGGGCGGCGACGACGCACCAGAGGGCGGAGCCGTAGGTGGCGTGGTTGTTGCGGACCTCGTTGACGCGGTGGTGGACGATGCTGAGGGCGGTCCAGTCGCAGGCGAGGGCGACGACGACGACGATGAAGGTGAGGCCCGACAGCAGCGAGGCGACGAGGGAGGAGATGACGTGGGTGCCGAGGACGGCGAGGAGAAAGGCGAGGAAGGAGAGGACGGCGCCGACGGGGTGCAGCACCATGACGCGGGTCAGGCCCGAGGCCGTGTTGCGGCCGACGGAGCCATTGTCGACCTCGGAGTCGACGCCGGTGATGAGGCGCAGGGGGTTGTAGCCAATGTGGCGCTGGCAGTAGTCGGACTGGCCACTGTGGAAGTTGGGGTTAGTGATTTGATGATTTAGAGCCAAAAAAAAAAAAGAAAAATAAAGTAAAATGAGTCGCGCAAAGCGCATTGCTCGGGCATGTCTTGGCGCTGGGCCGGGTTCAGCTTGCATCGGCCGTCGCGCGGATCCTTGCATGCCAACCTGGTCCTCCATCGGGTCGCCAAATCTGCGGCACGTGGGGCCCATGAGCTCATGGTGGAGCCGAGCGACGAGCCAGGCTGAAATGAACAATCCATGGGCCAAAAAAAAACAGAAACATGGTATCGCGCTAAATAAGTGGCACTTACTCGTACATCTGGCAGTAGCCAAAGGAACCAAAGGTCATGCGCTCCGTGTCAAGGCCGTTGCGAAAGGTGACCTTGAGAAGGGCCAGGTTGTTGACGACGGGCGAGGAAATCGAGGCCACCAAGAGCAGAATGGCCGTGACGAGGAGCAGCAGCGTGCCAATGTGGTGAACACCGAGGAGGAGACCCATGGTAGCGGTGTTGTATGTTGGGGGTATGAGGCGTCTAGTGTTGTTATTCCTGGTTGCTTCTTTCGAGGCACGTGTGCTAGAGAAGGTGTTTTTTCGTGGACGGACAGAAGAGAAGGGGAAAACAAACGAGAAGCAAGAAGAATGATTTCGGGGGAGGAGCACAGCTCATATACTTGGGTAGCGAGGAGGTTAGTTAGATTGGGGGAGGGGGGAGGAGGAGGACTTGTTTCACGCAAGTGCTCAAGCTAAAAAAACCAAAAAAGTCGCATCTGGTTTAGACTGTAGAACCGGGCAGGGGGGAAAGCCGACCAAAGCTGGAAAGTGTCGAGCTGGTTTGCCAAAGGGGAATGGAGGGGGGGCGGCGGCCTCCATTATCTGGGTTGTACCCAGGTCGTGATGGCGGTGGTGATGCGCTGTTGGTATGACGTTGGCATGACCCCAATTGCCGAGCTTGGGCAGGCGTGCAGCTCGACCCTTGAAAGTCTTTATTTTTTTATTTTTTATTTTTTATATTAACTACTCTTCGTACCAGTAATTTGTATGACTTGGCACGTCACAAATCCACGCTGCGGGCAGAGGTGTTTCTGTTCGCCAGGGAGCAATGGAGCTAATACCGGCACCTTGATCGGGCCAGCAGAGGCACGATCGCTGGTCGAGCCGAGGAGATGACCTTGGCTGGCTGTGATTGCGCCAAAGCAAGAAACTGGGTCCGCGCGCTGCTGCTCTCCAGCGAGATGAGCAGCGATGCCCCGGTGGTGGGGACCTGGTATAGGTACCGGTGTCACTGACACAGGTGAGCAATTCTCACAGCCTGCAAGCCACACCTCTTTGTACTCACTCCAGAGCTGGCAACTGTTGTACTCGGTGGAGAGGTCCGTTTCTCTCAACTGCGCCTTGTCGTTCAATCGTAGCTGCGCAGGGTTTCCAACGCTCCATGTGTAGCACACATGGCTGCCCCCAGTCAAAAGCATAAACCTTTTCGATCATCAACCCGCCCACTCACCCTTTCTCCGCCCCCCTGTTCAGCGCAAAAAATGCTGCAACAAGTCATGTCAGGGACAAATCACAAGCCCCCGAGTTTATTTTAGCCGGCAGCAAAGCCACACCCTTGTCACACGGCCGCCACCCAGCAGCGCCACAGGACAGCTGCACCCTGCCTTGGAAAACCAGGCTCCTTCGCTAATTAGCGGGGAGCGACGCATCATGTCAAGGCATGTGGTTCTTCACCTTGAACGTTTTGACTGGTAGCGAGGTCTTGTTAGTTTAATGAGACGCAAGCTTTTTAGCGTCTGTGGTACTTTGACTGTGAGTTGCCTAGCGTCACTGTGACGACTTGCTGGAGAGTTCCACTGTCGCTCCCTTCACACTCTCTCTTCCTTATTATTGTTCAGTCGAACTCTGACAACGTTTCGCCGTAGGGCTCTCCGGCCGGGGTACAAGGAGGGAACCACGCGGCACACCCCGCCCAGCAGGAAACAACCTTTTCTGTCTACCTCATCAACTTGAGACGCAATTCCTCCTGTCTTATGCCACGTAATATGTCATGTGCACTTGCATGCTCTCTCTGACTAGTCATGTACAACAGTAACTAGTTACAAAGCATGTACGGATCTTTCCATCGGCTGCTTTAGGTGTCACTACCAGTAGGTACCCATGTAGTCACCACCTGGCAACCTAGCCAAGCCGAAAATGGCCCCATTATTGATTGCCTAGGACCTCTGCCTGGCCGATCACTGCGCACCGACCGATGGCCACTGTCTTTTTTTTCTTCGGCCCCCAGCGCCGCCATCTATCTGACGCGGAAACCCGCCCGAGGCATCATTTCCAAACAGTGTTGCGTTTGCAAAGGAAACAAAGAAAAAAAAAAATAGTGTGACAAGAAGAAGCAATTCGCAGTTGTCGCAACTCGATGGTGCAAACTGTCAACGTTACAGCCACCGTCGCTTCCTCGTCTCATTTCCTGTTTCCTTGTTCAGCACTATTACGTAGGTAGCCTGCAGCCCAAACCGGGCCGGGCCCCGTGCTGGGCCACACTTCACGGCACAATTGGCCCGTGGCGCCTTGCTCTTTCATCCGCCACAGATGCGCCAAGTTCAGTATCAACTAGTATGCATCCGGAACAAGCCGACCGCGGGCCAGGTCGTCGACGTAGCTTTGACCCGCTGCTTCTTTTTCGCAATATCGAGACGTTGAGCGTTGCAGCGGCATATTCACCATCTTCGCCGCGGCCTGGGCGGCGGCAGGCTGACGGGATCCTCCGCCGCCGCCGTCATCTGCCCCGGCATCAGCTGCTTCCGCTCCAGCCGTTGGCGCATAGTGTCCCGGGGCGCGTCCGCCGGCGCGGGCCTGACGTGCCAGTAGCAGAGGCCCTTCTTCTGCAGCGTGTCAGGCAGCGTGTCCCGCAGCGCGAGCACCGCAAACGACTGGTCCGCCTCGTAGCCCTCAGGCCAGCGCGCGTGCTCCGTCGCCCGCGTCGCCGCCTTGCCGTGGTCAAAGTCGCGCGCGGGCCCGATCGTGAGCACAAACTCGCGCGTCGTCTCGCCCTCGCCCGCCCCGGGCTGCTGCTCCGTTTCGGGCTGCTCGGCGCGCGCAGAGTCCGCCCTGTTCGCCTGCGTCTGGAACTCGATGCGCGGGTGCGCTGGCGGCGCGGCCAGGCTCTGCAGCTGCCGCGCACGCTTCGCCGGCTCGATCCGGGGGAACGATATGCGGCACGCGATCGGGCTCAGATGTGCGAGCGCCTTGGCCGTGTCTTCGTTTCGGGTGACGGAAATGTAGCGATGCGCTTCTTGCTAAAACACGGGACAAGGTCAGCGCGACGGGATGCTTCGGCGGCGCCAGGGAGGAGAGTTGGACCTACGTTTTCTCTCCTGAAGATGTCAACGGGTCCGTACTTTTGCAGTACTTGTAATATCGAACGTCGCTCGGCAAAGGTAGCCGGTGCAGGGGATATCATGATCCGTAGTGACCGATTGGCCAGGCGGCTGTTGAGGCCGCGAAACGGCGTCGCCGCCATCTCGTCTCCGATGTGGCTGCGTGAAAGAGACGAGGTCCTTGGTCGCGATTATTGCGCTTCAAAGGTTCCTGCCGACCGTCTTTGTCTAGAAATCGTCATAGTCTTGGGGATGTGAATGTCAGTGCAAGCCTTTTTTTTTCCCCAGCCGCCAGTCGCGAAAAGCTATTGTGGGGCGGCTTCAACACCACCAACGTAGGCGCCAGCCTTTTGCACTTTCCCATCCACCAATCCATAGCCAGCGCGTCTAGTGTCCCGGCCTTTTCTATTCATACCCAATCCATCCGACTTGATAAGTTGCCTCACCACTTATAAACGTTACAGTTTGTTAGCACATCAACATTCTGGTAGCCACTGTGGCTACCAGCGCGTAACTGTCCATCCCGCACCGTCTCCGACGCAACCACACACACAATGTCGACACCGACGCCAGCGGCCATGAAGCATGCGCCCTCACAGCAGGGACGCACTCCATCCGGCCAGCAGGGCCGCACACCATCACACTTCCCAGCCGCCACGCCGCCCGTCTCGACGCCCTTGAACGCCGCTCAAGCAGCCTTCTCCCCGCGCGGTCCACACTCATCGCCGCAGTACGTTAAGAAGTCACCTGCCACGATGGGAATGGCGGGCCAATCAACAATGGCCGCACTCAACTTTGACAGTCCCTCGACGGCGGCGGCTATGGGCGCTCTCGTCATGGGTAGCGGCTTTGACATGGGTCTCGAAGGCGTCCCTGGCCTCGACGGCGTTGGTGGTGCATATGCTAGTGAGGAGGAGAAGCTACGACGTCTAGAGAACATGATTAGAATGTTCAATGTATGTATTTGCTCAGGGACCCCTGTGTGTATCGCACTCGCTAACTAGAATACAGGAAAAAAAGGGCATGGTCAGCGAAGCCGGCATCGGGCGACTCGCACAACGACTTGGCATGGAAATTCTCGCTGAAGAAAACTCCACACCTGGCGGCCGTAAAACGAAAACACTAGCGATTGCTGGATCTGCTATTGCCCTTGATATTGTCTTGGACAACAATATTGTCCAGAACGCGACTCTCTCATACCATGGAAACGCCGACTCGGTCACAAAACACATTGATGCCGCCAGCCAGATTCTGATGAAAGATCTTCAACTTTTTCCGGGCCAAAGCCCTCTCACCAAGACGCTGGAGAGGTTTGCCATGAACTTCGAGCGTCTTGCTACGCTGGACAAGTTGAGCATCGTTCCCGGGCTGGATTGCCACGAGGCCTTGGCGAGCATGTATTCCAGCCTGGAGCGCTTGTATGATTGGGACGTGGAGCAACTACGCCGAGGTGGCGGAATGGCCGGCAAGCCAGATGCCCTGTTAGCAAGTGCTGCCATGTGCACCAGACACGGGAAACCAGTCATGCATGAACGCGGCCAAGTTGGGCTCGCTCTGCAGTACTGGAAAGAGAAGAGATTTGTCGCACCACCACCTGTGCAGAATGACAATAACAAAAGCAAAGTATGGTCTATGCTTCTTGGCTGTGCTGCCATTGATGGCGTGGGACTACTACCGGCTCGAGTATCGGAGAATTGGATCTCGAAAGACATCATCAAGCAAGACGACATGATGGGCACACTCACTTCTCCCATTCTTGACTGGCAAGAGCCCGAACATGTTTCGTTGCCTCAAACCGACGAAAACAAGGACGCCAGTATGGACCTACTTCAGGATGATCTTTCTACTACGAGAGTGCCGCGCGTCATGTTCACCGCCACATTTGACCCGCCCGTCATTCTCCCCCAAACCGAATGGGCGCGTCTATACGCGCTTGCGGGTGTCGAGCCACCCAACGACTTCAACCGCCAGCCCCCTACTTTTGACGCCCTCTTCTTCCCACTGGCGCCGGGCACGAGGCAAGATCCGAGCGAAGCCCGCACCATTGTTCGCAGACACCAGTTCCCCATGATCAATACGTACAATGACGCCTTGACGAGGACCCACCAAAACAGCTTATTCATCTACAAGCCTATATACTCGCAAGAACTTTCGGAGCTGCCCTTTGGCCATCCCAGGCAGCTCGTTGACATGCTGCCGGTACTTCGCCAGTACGCCTTCTTGTCGACATTGCTTGAGAGCAGCTTCGGGAGGGAGGATGGTTCTGCTGTCGACAATGCGAAAGCAAGCGTGCAGGGAAATGAGCTCGAAAAGGATAGGACAACTATGAAAGACCAACTGGCTGATTTCATGAGCTTGGGGAATAATGACGCGAAAGTGGACGGTGGCGAGCCGATCCATGCTCCCGTAGACCTTTGCCTGGACGTCATTCTTTGGGTTCATCCTTCACCGCACATGCAGGTTGTCTTTCCTATGCGCGACACAACAGCCAACATCACTTTAAGCATTTTGGAAGGCGGGCTGGTGCAAATTATCCACGAAAATGTCATTGGCGAGGCACCGGGGCCCATCAAGGAGATTAATGGAAGTTATGTGACAAGAGAGCACCTGGCCAAGGTGCTGGAGCACCTGGAGGACTTGAGCAAATGGGCCGAATGGATTCGATCCCGGTTGTAATATAGACTGGGGAGACGCCCACCACACAATGCATTCATGATACCCTCGTCTACCATGGTCAAAACGGTGTGATGAAGTGCTTTTACTTTATTGCTTCCAACTAAAACAAATGGATATCAGGCTAAACTATGCAGGAAAAAACCAAACGACAAAAGACGACGGCTAAGAGGAAGGCAACCGCGCCTTGGGCCACGTAGGCGTGTCCGCAAACCACCGCGACCTATACAGCTGTTGCGGATACGTCAGGCCCGGCTGCAGCTTGCCATTCTCGAGCAGGTTGATCTGGTACGAGGTGACGTCCTGCCACGAGGCCTGCACGTACAGCACGTTGTGGCTGCCGTCGATGCTCAGCGACTTGATGTCGGAGCGCGGCAGCGCCTGGCCGTTGGTGCCGACGCGGCTGTCCACCGGCATGAAGCCCGGCAGGTACTTGCTCGCAACGGACGCGCCGCTCTCAAACGTCTGCGAGTCGATATCAAACACGTGCAGGTCGGTGTCGGTCGAGAGCAGCAGCTGCCGGCGGCCTGGCACGCCCGTCACGTCGTGCCCGCCGTCCCACCACCCGGCGTACTCGGTCCCCGCCCACTCGGTGTCGAGCGCGAGGGCGCCGCCGCTGATATTATACGCGTACGTCGGGAGGCGCGTCTGGAACGCGCCGCGCGCGTACCGGTACCCGTTGAGCGCCGC